AAGTGTGAGACACAGAATTTCAAACATATATCAGAAACCAAACGTTAGAAAATGTTGAAACCAAATGATGTAGAAAAATGGATTCCATGTCAATTTGAAAACATCAAATATTGGATTGTACTATACACCAATCATGACAAATTTAGTGATTAAATTTACTTTAAATGTGTAGTGCATGTGAAATTATGTGGGGATTCTATTTATTTGTAACTGAAATTGCTTTCAAAGGAAAGTGGATTATCTTAGAGTGAAAGTTCTGTAGACCTGAGCAACTTGATGGATTTGGTTATACGCATAGGTGAGTTTGTGGCTGAGTATGAGGATAAGAGTTAGAACTGAATTGCTCTGTTTAAGAAAAATGGAAGAACGGTTTTGAATGGTGAAGAGGAGACAGGGAAAGAGGCAAAGCTCAGAATCATGGGAAGAGGAGGAATATCAATAAATGGTTGGGGGTCTTTTCTTCTTCCTTCTTTCTTCGCTCCCTCAATTCCTCTTTTTTGTTTATTTCTGTCTCCCCTCTCCCAATATCCCTCACGCTCACTTCTCTCCCTTTTTCTGTCTGAAAAAATAGGGATTATCGAATATTAACTTTAAAGTTGTAGATTTTTCTGTCTCCTGAGATCTTCTCCACAATGGGCTTTTATATAGAAATGACCTGTAAGTGATTGTAGTTTTGGTGTTTGTTTCGGTTTTTATATTTGTTGTTGTTTGTTTGCTTTGGTGAGATTTGCTGGGGTTGACGTGGTATGGAAAGGAAAAGCATGTGGAAAGAGATGAAGTTACTCTTGAACCAAATTAATATTTAATAGAATTAGGGATTCACAGCCACTTTCCAAAGTCCATGGCCTGGAGGCCCAAGGCAAACTCAGGGGATGTTAAAGGGCAGGTGACCCTCTGGTTGTTACATGTGTTCCAGCTCCCTCTACCCCTCTCCGTCCCCCTCCCCCTTCCCTCCCCTTCCCTTTCCTTTTGAAATTGACAAATAAAAATTGCATATATTTATCATGTAGAACATGATATTTTAAAATATGTATACATTGTGGAATGGCAAAATCAAACTATCTTCTTGCCTTCTTATTTTGCTCTCCACACTGGGTGAGGGTCTGATGTTGGCTGGTGTGTGCATAAGTACAAGGACAAAGGACTGGGTATGTGCACAAGTACCTTCCAAGGACAAAGGACTGGGTATGTGTTCTAGCTTCTAAGTGTTTACTGGTTCTTTAGTCTTCCAAAATATTCGTTTTCTAATGAATTTATTACGAATCTTTGAATTCCAAAATTCAGTTCTGGAGATAAACTCTCGCTTAGATTGAATTCATCAATTTCTTAGGCTGTTCTCCCAGGGGTTTCAGAGCAGCTTTTAATCCCAGCATCAAGAGGCAGCTGATGTTCACAAATAATTCCCTTTCACGGTTCCTTCCAGAGAGTTTTGGGGTTCTGTGTACAACAGTATCTGGTGACCTATGACTGTAGAATGTCTGAGCTTGATGTGATCCTCTAGAATCTCTCTCCTATGGTCTGTAAAGATTTTATCCTATCTTCCCATAGCCTTCATTCCAAATTTTAAGACTGTTTAGAAAATATTGTATCGTAGCTAAGTGCTAGATTCTAGAACCAGACACCCAGAGTTTGAATCCTTTTCTCACCTCTTATTAGGTATGTGACCTTGGGCCTGCCTCTATATCCTAATTACTCATGTATGAAAGGAAAGAATAAAAATGCCTATTTTAGGGAGGTTTGTAATAATTTAACAAGATTACTACATGCACAGTGCTTAGAACAGCACCTGGCAGATATTGTGTACTATGTAAGAGTTAGCTATGATTATAATTGTGTCACTGGATTTGAGATCAACAGATAGTGTTCTGTCCAAGTGTTCAATCCAAGTGAAATCAATCTATTCTTGCTCTTCAGAGTTTGTTGTTTGGAGGCATCTGTGAGCTCCCATCGAGGCATGGTGTTCCCAGAACTTCTTCATGTCACCTTCATTATTCCTTTAGTTACTCAACTAGGTGCCATCATGAAAAGAGGTGTTGAGAAATCTGATTCATCACTTTCAGAGGAACCCTTCAGTTCAGACAGTTTTGGGAAATTGTTCCCAAAATAGATGCATGGCATTTCTCTGCACATTTTTAGTAATTAGATGCTATTCTTTCCCTCACTTAAAGTGAAATACAAAATGTTTGATTTACAAATTTATATTAGTGAATATGAAATTTCCAAAAAGGATGTAGTTGTGGTTGGGGTGGGATCTTGTGTGTGTGGCTTGATCTCAGGAAATGAGAAAGCTAAAGAAAAGAAACCACATCTCAATGATGCAGGGAACTTTGGCTCAAAAGAGAAGTAGAGAGGAATGGGGAGGCTGGAGCCCTGGGAGGAAAAAGAATATATAAACAGAAAGAGGGGTTATATGAGCAGAAAGTTAAGTGATAAACTTGTTTTCAATTAAGTATATGTTTGCTATGTTCTGAAGGGAGAGAAAGAGGAAGAAAGTCAGTTTTGTGGAAAGGGGCTATTCCAATCTGTGATGGTATGCCTGATCTGTTTAGTACAGACTTCATCAATTGATTTCCTGCTATGTTGTTAGGATTTAATTAACAGAATTTAAAGAATTCTTCCCATCCCAATTCCTTCCATGTTGCAACAGTTACAATTCAATTTTTACTTACTTTGTTTTGTAAGTTGTGATAACATATTTAATTCTTACTCCATCAAACTTCAACTGTATTTTTTGAGTCTCTATCCTTTTATTATGTTTTGTCTCCTCCAAATTCATGGGTTGGAAGCTGAATCTCCAATGCAACAGTGCTGAGAGGTGGGGCCTACGGAGAGGTACTTCTGAGGGCTCTGCCCACATGACTGGACTAATACCCTTATAAAAAGGACTTGCAGGAGTGAGTTCTTGCTCTCTTCTGCTTTTCTGCCATGTGAGGAACATAGTTCCTCCCTTCTAGTGGATGCAGGATTCAAGGTGACATCTTGGAAGGAGAGACCAGGCCCTCACCAAACCTGCCAGCACTTTGATCTTGAACTTCCAGTCTCCAGATCTGTGAGAAATTAATTTCTGCTTGTTATAAATTACTCAGTCTCAGGCATTCTATTATAGCAGCCCAACAGAAACTAAGACAATTTCCCTTACCTCTCTTACTCCTTCTCTTTTCCAAATCAAATATTATAAAATTGGAAAGATTTATTTAATTATTAGACAAAGTCTCACTTGTTGGCCAGGCTGGAGGAGGACAATGGTGTGATCTTTGCTCACTGCAACCTCTGCCTCTTGGGTTTAAGTGATTCTTAAGCCTCAGCCTCCCAAGTAGCTGGAATTACAGGTGCATGCCCAGCTAACTTTTGTAATTTTAGTAGAGATGAGGTGTTGCGATGTTGGCCAGACTGGTCTCGAACTCTTAGCCTCAAGTAATTTGTCTGCCTTAGCCTCACAAAGTGCTGGGATTACAGGCATGAGTCAGTCACCACCCCTGGCCATGTTTTGTTCTTTAATCATAATTACTGGTCCAAAAAGATGAAGAAAAATAAACGACATACACATTATGTAAATGTTATTTATCTACAGGCAATTAGAGTCCTCTAATTACGTTTCTTTCACTAAATGGTCAGTTTGATCCAAGATGGGATGTTGAACGTGCAAGAAATGTATTTGGGAAAACACCTATGGAAAAAAATGGAAGACAGCAGATTGAAGTTGGAAGAGCGATCCAACTGTGATGCAGGTCTGACACCATAGGTAAGAGAGATAGAACGAAGAAAAGTTGGGTAGAAACATCTTAGCTTACAGTATTTTTTTAAGGAACATTTGTCAAGGCTAGTGTGGAGTCCTTGAGTTTAAATTGCTCATCAGAGGAGTACTGCATCTCTCAGGAAAGGGCATGACTTAGTATCCTTGCCACACTGGGAAGCATGGTCTCAGTATAAATGTAGTGCTAGAATTCAGAGTGTAGAGATGGGACCTTCAGACAATTACAATCCCTGTAGCTAGAGATCTGAGAGGTGCTTCTTACGGCTACCACATTAGGGTTACAATGTTATTACATTTGAACTACTCGAAGGAGACTGTTCTAATTGTCAAGGCCAAATGGATTCTCATTTCTTATAATTCACCAATTATATAAAAACATACCACATTATTTGTTTTATATTTCTGCCATGTTCTTTAATCTCAATAATGAACATATTCCATGAAAGAACTACCTTGGGCCTGCCTGTGTTGTAGTTGATGTCACATAGTCATAGTCACATCAGAGCCAGATAAACTCTGTCAGTTGAGGTTTAGCCTACAACAAATGATTACCGGTAGAAACTGTAAAATGGGGATGAGTGCTACTGAACCAAGAGCCAAGATAAATAAATCATGGTCCACAAATTAGTTGTGACCTTAAGTCATATCACCAGTCCTGGTCTCAATTTTTGTATCAAGGAAGTTGGTTGGAGCAGGCATTTTCTCAGGGTCTTCCTGGTTTGAAAGTTCTGTGTTGTCTACAAGGTTGTTGCTGAACTGTAGTAATCTGCATTGTGGACTCAATCTAGAGAAGAATATATTGCTTTTGAAACTCTGGCTGATAGCATGTGATCAACTGCTAAGACTATTTCTGCACCCAGAAAGGACAGCAAGTATCTTTAAGAAGAGCTCCATTACTGGGAAGCCAGTTTTTCTGCCAGCTGATTTGTCATTTGTTGAAAGGGCTTTTCTCAGCTTTTGTGAATCAGGGAGCATAGCTTTAGTGCTGAATGAAATAGTTTCCAAGAACACCTTACAGATTTGGAGAGGAGGCACTTCTTTTCTGGAAGGGTCAAATTACCCTGAATGGCAATCACAGCCACTTCTCTGGGCATATTTATGAATCTGTCTAATAGGTAAAAAAAGAACTTGGGCCTGGCATCATAGGATTTTTGTTAGTCTTGACAGGATGAGTTCATCTAACTAGTAGAATTAGGCTTTGAGTCAACTGGTAAGGGCAGCTTTCAGAGGTAGGTGGAGGATACTATACAATTCAACTCGGGCAGCTTTTATTAGAATATTATATACCAAGTATATGATGAGGAATCCAAATGCAAACCAGATATTCAAGAAACTTAGGATTTCCTGGGTTAAGCTGATTAGCCTAATTAATTTTATTCCATTTACATTTACTTTTCACGTTATAGATCAGTGGCTCTCAAACTTTGCTGCACAAGTTTCAACTGGGGAATCTAAAAATCATGATGCCTGGACTGCACCCCATGCCAATTAAATCATTCTCTGTGGGGCGGGACCCAGACATCCATGTTTTGTTTTAACTTTATAGGTGATTCCAATATGCAGCCAAGTTTGAGGAACAATGTTGTAGAACTTACTATTCAAAATGTAATTAGAAGGACAGCAGCAGCATCCTCACCTGGGAGCTTGTTTAAAGTGCAGAAATCTCAGGCCCCTTCTGTGTATGAGCACAACTCTTATCCGCTGATTTATAAAAACAAGTTAATTGATGAAGCAAATAATCTTTTCTGTGATTCGCTATCTGAGTGACCCTCGAATGGGAGTTTTCTGAACTATGTGGCAAGTGATGGAAGTTGTTTACTTTCAGGTGGGAGAAATGGCCTGCTTTGCTAAGTAATATCCTAAAAGATTTGAAAGGGACTAATGTGTTTACTGAAAGGTCAGGACTTCAGTGCTGACTTTCTGAAATTCTTGAGTAAAGGTCATTCCCTTCCTTGTTCTTCCTTAAGAGAGCAAACAAAATTTAAAAAACAGAATTAAGTAAAACAAAAGATTTTTTAAAAATTAATATGTGAGCTACACTGCAGTATATATGTATGTCTGACTACGTACAGAAAAAAGATCTGGAAGGATACATATCAAATTGTTATTAGTTTACCTTGAGGATGTGGAACTGTAGTAAGGTGAGGGGACTGTAGTAAGGTGAGGAGACAGCTCTCATTTTTAAATTGACATACTTTTGTAATCTTTTTGGAATTTACAATGAGAATTCATTATTTTTATAACAATTAAATCATAAGAGAAATTTTAAAGATAATAAAAAAATAACAAAGTAAAACACACATACATAATAATTTTACGAGTTACATTGGAGGAATGGAGAATTAAATCACATGGTACTTTTTCACTAATATTGTGGTGGTATATAATTGTGTAGTCTATAATCAAAGAAACTACATTAGAGAAGCCACTAAAAGTCTCAAGCAGTGTCTCCTCAAGGTGGATATTAAAACTGAAAGCAGCGCTTAACTCTTCCTAGAGAATCTAGGTGAAAAAAACTCTGAAAATCTCACATTAAAAAAAAAAGCTTCATAGAAGTCACTTTGATTTGCTAAAAGAGCCAAAGGCCAGAAATGAGGGTACAAAAACTCCATTCAGAACAGATTCAAAACTAGTACACTGAAATCTTGATAATCTAGGGATGTAGGTTAGGGACATCTCCTTTTTCCATTGGTTTATCATTTCTCCAATTTCCCAATGGCTGCTTTATATCGCAGTAATTTTAACCTAAAAGTATTGTAATTTTAGTTGGAAGGAATAAAATTAATTGCATCTAAATTCAGTGCAAATTTTTTTAGTTACAAAAAAAAACCAGAACAACTTGAGACTATTTTCCATTATTCATTTTTTTCCACTTAATTATTTCTAGCTACTTAATAAACATTTGGGGATTGAATCTCTGAAGTTACAGATTTAAAATTTGAGAAAGTCTTTTTTCTCCTCTTCTAGTTTTTTCTTTTTATTGAAGTCACTAGAGATGACAAACGTTTTTGTTATAAACTTTTTTCCAACAAAAAAGATATTTTCGGTGACTAATAGATTGATAGTTAAATATCCTTATCAAAGTCAAATCATCTCTAACTAAAACATGCTGTCTTTTGCAAACTACATAGTTAAGAGCTTCAGTATTAATAAATAACTTTGTACTCCTGAGTGTTCCTGATCTAGGTATCAAAGGTTTATGTAGGATTATACTTACTACATAATATGAGAAATTTGCCAAAACTTAATCTGCAAAGTATTATGAAAAGCACAAAGAGCACAATAATAATGGCCATACCATGTTTAAAAATTACAACAGCTAGAATATTGCTATTTCTCAATGGATTATAGTATTTTAGTTAAAAAGAAAAAAGAAAACAACATAAGATTCATCATAATGCATATAAAATTTTTAGCACAATGCATTGTACACAGTAACTGTTTAATAAATATTAACTCTATAATAAACAATGGATTAAAACAATTAAAAAATAGAAGAACCCAAAATGGAGGGAAAAGCTTAGAGCTAATTTCCTAGAGTATATATTTAAATGGAAAGCTGGAGCTCACAGAGAGCAGTAAGGAATTCTGCATTTTCTGGATCTATCTTTTGTGCCTTCTCATAGTACTCAGCAGCTTGCCTCTTTTCTCCTTCGAGCTTATAAACAAACCCTAGGGCACTTAAACTCTGCACATCTAAAGCATTGTGACAAAGTCTTTTGGTAGCCAATTTCTTCAGTGCACTTGTCAGTTTGGTGCGAAGGGGTGATCTGTCTTTGACCTTTAAGGCTTCTAAATAATGATGGATAGCAGTATTTTCTGATTTACGGTGAAATTCCTGAAAGCGGCCATAGTGGTAGTGGATCTGATGTTTGTGATCATCAGTTATGTTCTCCAGACGAAGGGCTTTCTGGAAAATGTCCTCAGCATTGCTATACAGGCCTCCTTCAGCATACATGTTGGCCAGGTCTGTGTAGGCAAATGCAAACATAGAGTCTTGTTCCATGGCTGCTTTGAAATGAAATATAGCAGATGTAATCAGCTCATCAACCTTCAGCTTATCCTTTCCTTTAGGTCTGTTGCGTGTGGCCTTCTTGATTTGGATCATTTGTGCTCTGTAGCAAAGTCCCATCTGGTGATGCAGGAAAGAAGAAGTTGGTGTCACCTCCAAGGCCTTTTTTAAAAGTTCGAGAGCTTTGTCCCAGGAATTTTTTCTCCTATAGAATTTGGCTGCATAACGAAGGACATAAGGCTGGGAGGATATCTGGTCCAGGATTTCTTCAATATACTTTTCCCCTTCAGCTTCTGCATGTACATCTTGAAGCTTCAGTGCAAGAAAAACTTTAATGTAGCTGTCATCTGGGTTCAGGGTAACAGCCTTTCTCAAAGGCCCCAGAGAAAAGCTCTTTACAGACCCTTCTCTGTCAGAATCATCCAGCCGATACACTGTGATAGCATAGCCGATGTTAAATTCTGGATTGTCAGGTTCTACTTCCAGAGCCTTCTCAAAAGCTGCTTTAGCCTTTTGATAATACTTTCCTCCAAATTTCAAGAGTGCCCACCCTTTCTCACAGTCAATCTCAGGACACACCAACTTGTAGACAGACGGACTGGACAATTTCTTGCAGACATTCCCTATCTTACCTGTATACTTCTGAGCTTCTTCAAGCTGGTCCATGTGATAATACACCCAGGCATAGTTCCCCCAAGTGACCAGGCTTCGTACTTCTTCTTTGTCTGAGTGTTCTCGCTGGATTATTTCTTCTGCTTGTTCCAAGCACTCCAAGGCATCTTTATTTTGGCCTTTTAGGTGTTTCACATAGGCCAATAGGTTATAAAGAGCAAGTCTAGATTTTGTGGTAAGAAATTCAAGCTGTTGCCCAATTGTATCTTCCACTTCAAACAGATCAATGTCTTCCTTAAGTAAATTCCATGTAAAATGACATTCTAATTCCAACAGAATGGTCTTCAAGGTGTCCTTAGGAATTTCACTGTCAAAGATAAAATACTTTTTAATTTTTGAAGAAATACAAGAAATAATTTTCTAAACCTTAAACATTGATCTTTGCATAACAATTTTATCCCTATTTGATCTTACAGCTAAAGCACTAGGTTCCCATAACTTTATACTAGAGTTTCTTCTATGAACAGTTATGTCCTAGAAATATTTCATTTAAATTCTATTTATTGCAAAAACAGTTCTGGAGAGATGACAGAGCTTTCTATATTACATGTATCTATTTTCTTTTGGCAATCAGTAAACCCTTGAACATTAGGAATAAATATATACATATTCAGTAGTTAATATGAAAATTCCATTTTTGTATTATGAGTACTGATCCTGACTAGGAAACCTGGCAAAATTGTTCCTTGGTAATTGTTCCTTTCTCTAGTGCAACCATACCAAAAACATGAGCAAGACATGCCATGTCCTTAAAGCCTGGTCAAATCCACAACAATATGGCCTTACCAGCCCCCTGCCTGTCATAGAGTAAAACAAACATCTGTCTGTTTTGAAGGTCTCTACCAGCCCAGCCCAAAGAGGATGAGTAGGGCGGCTCAGGTGTTATCAATGTGGCTGTAAGATCTCAAAGGGACATTCAGTCAGTTACTGAAGTGGTTTGTCCAGGCTCTTTGGAATTTATGCACAACTGGACACTGAGGATTTTTACTGTTTAAACTTTGTCTACTTAATTTTGTAACTTTGTCTCTGGGAAGCTGATAAGAGAAAAGGTATGTACCAGAGAGGTAACATTTATCTTTTGTAATTCTGTTCTTTTGCTAGGAAGAAGCATTCTTTCATTGTCCTTGGGGGACAGTTCCCAATGGGGCTAAGCCCTGTTCCTCCGCATCCTGCATATGGAGAGTGCACATCACCCCCTTTATCTGGTAGTTTTTTCCAAGCCCCTTCCTGATATAATTCTCCTTTCTTACATATGTTAGATGTGTGGCACTTAAACATTTTTAAACTTATAATTATGAGAATAGTTAACATTTATTATGCAAGTATTATGTGCTAAGCAGTCAATTGATAGGATTTATTATCGTCCTTTTCCACAGTCCCAAGAGATGGATGCCATTAAATTTTTTTTTTTTTTTTTTTTTTTTGAGACGGAGTTTCGCTCTTGTTATCTAGGCTGGAGTGCAATGGCGCGATCTTGGCTCACTGCAACTTCCACCTCCTGGGTTCAGGCAATTCTCCTGCCTCGGCCTCCTGAGTAGCTGGGATTACAGGCATGTGCCACCATGCCCAGCTAATTTTTTGTATTTTTAGTAGAGACGGGGTTTCACCATGTTGACCAGGATGGTCTCGATCTCTTGACTTCATGATCCACCCGCCTCGGCCTCCCAAAGTGCTGGGATTACAGGTTTGAGCCACCGCGCCCGGCCATGCCATTAATTTTTACAGATAAGGAACAGACTCATAGAGTTTAAGAAACTTTGGGGTCACTCAAGTAGTAGGAGCTTAGTCAGGATTTAGAACCAGGGACTATATGCTTTTAGAGCCCAAGAACTTAACCTCTCATTCCTCAAGTCATTAAATACAGAAGGTTCACTAACCACACGCAGGGCCAGGTGCTAGCCTCTGGGGATACAAAATGATTTTTTTTTTTTTTTTTTTTTTTTTTTTACCTGTGTTAGTGATAAATAGCTAGAGAAAGTATATGGAAAAGGTTTTTGGGTATGAGTAGGACTACCTCTTTGAATCTTACTGGACAGGTAGTTTGAGATCAATCTCAGCTGTCAGCAGCTACATGATGTTAAGCAAGTCTCATCCCGTGGGACCAAGTAATTTATCAGGACACTTTGACCAGTGATACTCTGGCACTAAATTATAAAATCTCTCAAGGGCATGATCTGTGTCTCTATTCCCATCACCCAGCGTAGGGCATATGGTATAGTAGAGAGGCTAAGAGGATGGAGTTTGATAATAGGTGAACTTGGAATTGAATCCCTGATCTGACACTAGCTGTGTGACCTTAGGCAAGTTTACTTAACCTTTCTAAGCCTTAATTTCCTCATCAGAAAGACAGGAACAAAACTCTCATCTGCCTCACAATGATGGAACATTAAACAAAAGGCAAGTGAAGAGATTAGATATTCAATCACATTTACTCATAAAGATGATGAATCCTGAGCTTTGAATAATATAACTTCTAAAGACACATTTAATTGTAGTAACATAACCTCTGGGTTGGAATCCAATCATCCCTCCGATATTTGAATCCTCTTCTCAATGTACCCATCAAGTAATCTGTTGCACATATGGTTCCCCCATGAGTGCATTCCCTTGATCCAGCAAGGTGCAGAATATGCCCTGACCCTTTCCTTTTTAGATGTTTTAATCCTTCTTTCTTTTTTTTTGAGACGGAGTTTTTGCTCGTGCTTCTCTTAATCACAAAATGATTAAGAAAAGGACGCCATCATGCTGAATCAGTAAAGAAGACAGATAAAGAAATCCTCATAAAATAGCGGATTGGGTGGGAGAATAACAATCTGTGCGTGGTACAGAGGTAGCTCGGCGTAAGGGAAGAACTCAGACCCAGGAATCAGAAAGGCAAAATGGCAGTGGCTGGCGAATGTGACCCCTGGAGGGCGGCGGCGAAACCGCGGGTGCCACGAGGGAATGGCAGCTGGAAGGAGAGGCACGCGACAGGGCTAAGGAGACCGGTGCCACGTCCCAGTCGCCCCCGGAACCGCTCTGGGGAGTTCTGCAGACTGACGAGTTTCCCGGAGGCGGCGGCCGCGGGCCCAGCACGGTTACCGTTGCCGCTGCTGAGGAGAGCCGTGGGGTAGTGAGGGGTGGAGAGGCCTCCCCGGCGGCGTCGCCCCGCAAACGCCCCGACGGTCCCGACCGCAGACGCCAGGGATGGGCTAGGCTCCCGGGGAGCATCGCCTGGTCCTCCTCCCTGATCGGCCTCCTCAGGGACTCCGGGGAAGCATCCGCTCGGCTACCCTCCCCGACAGGCCCGACTTCAGACGCCGCGCGCCAGGTCAGAGCGCCCGGGGGGCGGGGTCCCCAACGCAAAGGCCAGGCTGCCGTGCGCTAGGGGCTTAGCCCCTGAAGAGGCCGCAGCACTGCGCTGGAAATGAATGAAAGAAGCCCGGTTTGAAACAAAGGCCGACGCAAGGCTTGGCAGGAGAAGCAGAGGAAAGCCCTTACCTCATGATGGCAGCGCTCCGCAGGCCGTCCGGGCGGCGCAGTCCCTCGCGCTGTCTCTTCAGCACCGGGGACCGCGGGCAGCCGAGCGGCCCGCGGGCGGGCGTGTGCGCGTGCGCGCGCCAGCCAGGCCTCAGCAGCACTGGGACTCCGCCGGGCGGCGCGTCTTTGTTAGAGGAGGGACCCCAGCAGGAATAAGTAACTGGAAATTGAATCTGATGCCCGAGCACTCAGAAACCGAAACTTAAGAAATCGAAACTTAATGGAAGCTTAAGTAACCGAAACTTCATGGAAGAGCTCAAGAGCTGCGGCCAGACGTTTGCGGAGTCCAGAGTCTTTTGTAGGTGAATTTGCAGCGGGGCCTCTGCACTTTTGGTCTCGGCTCTTACCTGACTCTTTGAGTCCGCTGAGCTCGCGTGCTGCCCGCTTAACTGTTTGTTTTTGAGTCAGGGTCTCTGTCACCTAGTCCTGATCTTAAGCGATCTGCCTCTGCCAACCACGGTGCTGGGATTACAGACGGAAACTGAAGTCCCTGCTTCCACTCCAATCTTTTGATTCAATAAGCAACACTGCAATGCTGTACATCTGTGCTGTTATTTCTGTTGGGTGTAAACTAGAGAAATTTGGAGCTAAAATCTATATACATTTTAATTTTGAAGGATATTGCCAAATAGCTTTAAAAATCCACTCCTAGCCACAATTGTAGGAGAGTGCTTCTCTTCCGTACCTTTGCCGAGGGTGCTTTGTATAATAAGGACCCAATAAAAGTGAGAGTGGTATTGGGAATCTAGGCAGAAAATGTCATGCAGCCATACATTAAACATTTTGTTTAATGAATTCATTCGGCAGATTTTGGGGAACTGTAAAAACCAGACTTTGTTCAAAGTACTGTCAATATAACAACAAAGAAAACAGACACAGGCCTTACCCTTATTGAGGTAATGTCTGTATTCAAAACTTCAATAGCCTGTCCATAATTCATCTTTTGCATTGGTTTTGATTTTTTTGTTGTTGTTGTTTTGAGACAGGGTTCTTACTCTTTTATCCAGGTTGGAGTGTAGTGGTGAGATCGCAACTCACTGCAGCCTCAACCTCCAGAGCTCAAGCAATCCTCCTACCTCAGCTTTCTGAGTGGCTGGGACTGCAGGCGTGCAACACCCACGTCCTGCTAGTTATTTTATTTCTTGTAGAGAGGGGGTTTTGCCATGTTGCCCAGGCTGGTCTCCAACACGTAGGCTCAAGAGATCTGCCCACCTTGGCCTCCCAAAGTGCTGGGATTACGGGCGTGAGCCACCATTCCTGGCCTGATTTTGTATTTTTAAAAACATACTGTATTGAAATATGGTCTACCTTGATCACTGAGCTTCTGGTACCCCACCGCCTAAGACTTAGTGCCTGTGGCAGTGCCTCATTTAAGGCGACCACTTTTAACAGTTGTACTGTCTTATACAGAAACTGCTGGTCTCATGTGGCTATTAAGAACCTGAATTTTTAATTTAATCTAAATTCAAAAACTGGTAATCAAGTTAATAGAAAGCTTTAAAGAATATTTGGAAAAAACTTAGGTGCACGAATCTACTTTTTTTAAGCTGCAAATTTTATAAAATCTAAATATAGAGCAAGTATTTCCAATGATTATCCTCAGCAAACTAACCCAGGAACAGAAAATCAAACACTGCATGTTCTTACTTATAAGTGGGAACTGAATGATAAGAATACATGGACACAATGGGGAACAACACACACTGGGGCTTGTTGGAGGTGGGGGGTTGGTGGAAGGGACAGCATCAGGAAGTATAGCTAAGGGATGCTGAGCTTAATACCTAGGTGATGGGATAATCTGTGCAGCAAACCACCAAAGCACGTTTACCCATGTAACAAACCTGAACATCCTGCACATGTACCCCTGAATTTAAAATAAAAGTTGGCCTGGTCGCGGTGGCTCATGCCTGTAATCCCAGCACTTTGGGAGGCTGAGGCAGGTGGATCGCAAAGTCAGGAGTTCAAAACCAGTCTGACCAACATGGTGAAACCCCATCTCTACTAAAAATACAAAAATTAGCTGGGTGTGCTGGCACACACCTGTAGTCCCAGCTTCTAGGGAGGTGAGGCTGGATAATTGCTTGAACCTGGGAGGCGGAGGTTGCAGTGAGCCGAGATCGTATCACTGCACTACAGCCTGGGCAACAGAGCAAGACTCCATGTCAAAAATAAATAAATAAATAAAAATTTAAAAATAATAAATAATAAAGTTGAAGAAAAAATGTATTTCCAACGAAAATTTAGCATTTGAGATGTCATAATCTCTGTCCTACCTTCTTAAGGACAATGGATGAAATCAGTATCTATTGGAAGGAGTAAAAATATTAAATAAATGAAGCAAAATGTGTTGGAGCCCCAAATTTGAGGAGTTTCTTGGGGTGCTCTGTGGAAGTAAGAGTAATGCCCCCCCAATGGTGTCCATGCCCAAATCCCCAGTACCTGTGAACATGTTACTTTACATAGCAAAAGAAACTTTGCAGCTTTATTAAATTAAGGATTTGGGGATGGGGCACTTTTCTCAGTTTGGAGGATACATCTGAGGAAAGTGTTCCATAGTATAGAGACAAAATTACCTCTCTGTAAGACAGGACAGAAGAGGAGAAAGAAAAAAATGTTTTTTCAAAGGAGTCCCTGGGGTTCAGGATGGATTTCAAAGGGGTACAGATGGAAGATGGATGGGCAGGGGAGCAGGCACACCTGGTTTCCTTCTCTTCCTAGCAGATATACCCTGGGTATGTGAGGAAGAGGTATTCCCTCTTCTGACCTTGCATCCCTGAGTCCCAGCAACCTTGGCAGGTGCCACCCAGAGGTGCCAAAGCAGCTTGCATTCATAAAGCAGGGAGGGCCTAGAGAATAGCAATTATCCACTCTCACCCATGTCTCTAGCGCACCTACTCTCAGCAGCCTTGGAGTTAACTAGACCTCATTTATGCCACGGATACTACTCACCCATGAAAAGGAACAATATAATGGATGCAACTGGAGACCATTATTCTAAGTGAAGTAACTGAGGAGTAGAAAACCAAACATCTTAGGTTCTCACTCCTAAGTGGGAACTAAGCTATGTGGGCGCAAAGGCATAAGAATGATACAATGGGTTCTGGGGCCTTGGGGGAAAGGGCAGGAGGTGGATGACGGATAAAACACTAAACATTGGGTAGTGTACACTGCTCAGGTGATGAGTGCACCAAAATCTCAAAAGTCACCACTGAAAAATGAGAAAGCAGAAACTGTTTTCTACATATGTTCCAAATAATATTAAATGTTCAATTTTTCTTCAAAAACAAGCCAGCACTAGTACCAAGTGTTAGAAATAAAAAAATTAAAATTATTTCAATTATTCATTTTGAAATAATAAAGAACTATATATTTTTTTGTGGTGGTGAGTTTGTTGTGGTGTAACCAAACACGTGTTACCCCAAAAACTACTTAAATAAGAAAACATAAAAAAATTTAAAAGTCTACGATAAAGAGGTCTCATGAATCTGTAAGTCATATTTCTGACAGCATGCCAAATAGATTTGTGTATTTGCATGTTGTGTATACAATATTTCTCTACTATAAAGAGCTCTAATACATTGGCTTAAAGAAAAATACAAGTACATATGTCAACCATTTTATCAATAAAAAGACTAGCCAAATGCTTTTTCACATTTATGTGACTTAAGTAAAACCTTTTATAAATAAGCTGGCTTTCGAATTATTGAGAAAGTATTAGAAATGCTGTGAAAATTCCTAGCATCGCTCTTTGCATTTGTCGATCACGTGATTTCATGCTTATTCCTGCAGAATACGATGAAGATTTGTTATAAGGGTTATAAAACTATACAACCCGGCCCAAGACAGAATGGTCTTTGCTTGTGTAATTTTTCATAAAAAAGACATAAAATAATTTGGCTTAATGAAAACATCTACATTCTGAGTTATTGGTAAAATACCCTTATATTTAACCTTAAGAAAAGTACTTAAATAGGGTGGGAACAGTGGCTCGTGCCTCTAATTTGGGAGTACATCAGGAGGCCAAGGGGGGTCGATCACTTGAAGAGAGAAGTTCGAGACCAGCCTGGCCAACATGGTGAAACCCTGTCTCTCCTAAAAATACAGAAAAAATTAGCCTGTGTGGTGAGCACCTGTAGTCCCAGCTACTTGGGAAGCTGAGGCAAGAGAATTACTTGAACCCAGAAGGTGGAGGTGGCAGTGAACCCAGATTGCACCACTGCACTCCAGCCTGGGCAATAAAAGCAAAACTGTCTCAAACAAACAAACAGAAAAGAAAATTACTTAAACACCTGAAATTCACAGCTATAAAAATGGTTAACAGGGAATTTACTTTAAATAATGACTATCACAGTTTTCATCAACTAGATAAAACATTAATCTAATAAATGGTTATAAACAGGCTTGTCATATGATTTGGTATCTAAGGTTATTAACAGATATAAAGTAGCTGGGTAATTTCCAACTCAAAAAATGTAGGAAAACGTTTTTAAAATGTTATTAGGAGGTCAATATCTTTGTCTAATTCAAAGCTTTTATAAAAGTTATGTATAAAATGAGGTAACAGGAACCAGGAAATAAGAGAAGAAACTTAAAGATATAAAAAAGTATTTTTGATAAAGGTGAAAAAAAGCAATTTTATATAAGAAGGAATCTTGTGTGGTAAATTTTTTGTCCTAAAATAAAATGACCAGGTTGTTCAAGAAAGAAAATATTTAGGCAAAACAGAAAGTCTAAGCATGTTGTGAATCATCTATGTAAATTGATAATAAGATTAGTTAATGGAAACTTCACTTTTTTTTTTTTTTTCTTCCAGAAAACAGGGTGGTATAAGTTAGTTGAATATGAGTAAGAAGAAAATCCTAATAGTCTTTCCAGAGGTGGGTCTTTTATATTAACAAAATTACACAAATACAAACTATAATTGGTTAAAACAAGACTTTATTTAAAATATTTAGTTATTTACTAATGAGACAGAGTTTCACTCTGTCACCCTGGACTGCACTGGTGCAATCCTGGTTCACTGCAACCTTTGCCTCCTGGGTTCCAGGAATTCCATCACAACTTTGCTCAAGTTTCTCTCCTTTCCCCAGCTCCCGAACTCTGCTCTGCCTTCAGTCTGAGCCAACATACAAACCCCGTTTATGCCCCTCCTAAGAACAGGCTGACTTCTGGCTGAAACATTCCCTCAGCTTGAATCTGATTTTGCCATTCTCCACTCTTCCTCCCACCTTCCTTCTAATCTTGCTTGCTCCTCCATAAAAAACACAGCCCTTTTCTGCCTTTTATGAGATGCTTGCAGATCTGATGCCTGGTGATTTCCCCATTGTAATACTCCTTTAGAATAAAGTCACGTCTTACCTACATCAGAATTTATTTGACAATATCTAGAAAGAGCCTCGGGACAATAACAATTATTCCCTCAAAGAGGACATCACAACCCGCCTATTCTCAACTCTGATCATGTCTGCCTGTGCATTCCCAGCTTTCAAGAGCTCTGTAGCTTCTCTCAGTATAAAGACCCCGTCTATGGCTGCTGCGAGCAGGCTGGGACACCTGAAGGGGAGGACCCTCAGGAAGAAGACTGTGCTATTCATGAACTCCTTTGACATGTCTGAATACTAATACTGCAATTTGGGGAAAAAAATATTTTTAAAAAACAAAAAAGTTATCTTTTAAAATCTAAAAAAATTTAAATCATTGTTTTAAAAGCCTTACACAAGCTGGGTGCCCCTGTAATCCCAGCTACTTTAAACATTTAATTAAGGAGGGAGGCTGAGGCAGGAGAATGGCTTGGACCCAGGAGGTGGAAATTGCACTGAGCTGAGATCACACCACTGCCCCCTAGCCTGGCAACAGAGACTCATCTGAAAACAAAACAAAAAAAGCCTGACACCATTCACAGCTATCAGCCAACACACTAAGCAAGCATCTGTGAGTGGGCAGAAGGAGCCTATGCTTTGGAGTGATTTCTATAAGTCTGTTTACATGAAAAGAAACAGAAGGGTGAAGACTGTGTTGTTGCCCTGACAAGGTCCCATTCTTTATTATAAAGGGCAATCTTAGTTGTCTTTGAGTTAACTTAAATTGAGGTATTTCTTCTTTTGAAAATACAAACTTCTCTAGTTATTTAGCAGGAGAGGTGGTATTTTCCTGTCTTTTTTGGTGAGGGGTTCAGATGTTACAAGACCCCTCATTTCTTCCTTCAGGAGAGGATGGCCTTAGCGCGCTGAAGACTAGTTAAGTCATCAACGCTCAAAGACCCGGTCTTGCAAGCAGTATAGAACACTTCGTCTTGTTCCATCCTTGATAAAGCCTAAGAATGTCAAATAGAAAAGAGGTACAATTTTAAAAAGGGTTCCATACTTTTAACAATCACCACTGATGGGAAGCCACACATGCAGATCCTTTAGCTAGTTCAGCTACAGCTACTTTGGCTGAGGTTTACACGCCCCCTTCTGGCAGCTTACTTAGGCCATCTCCTTTCAGGGCTAGAATTAGATTGCAGGAGCAAAGGGGAGCTTGCTTTATTAAGTTACTTAAAAATTGGGCTCCCCAGAATGTCACCGTATTGTGACAGGCTTCTAACAGTATTATCTGTTACCTGTGCACTTGTGCCTTAAAAATAATGAAAGCACAGTTTTGCAAAAAGTTAGTTTATTAATCTATTCACATTCTACCCAATCTATAAGTTATTATATACTCACAGAAAATTGTAACCGGGCAGGCATGTGCTGGATTGTATTGAAATGTCATCAAAGTCTAATGATTAGGCGTCAAAAGGCACTACTTTTATGCTTATGGTAGAAAATTGTGTTATTTTAAAATACTTCCATGATGCCACAGAACACGCCTATTTTAAATGTTCATCCTTGTCAGCTGTAATTTTGCTGTGTACTTACCAAAAGTCACAAACCATAAATATTACTTTGTTCCATAAAAGTTATCATTTCTAGTAAAATCCTATGTACTTCCTGCAGCCAGTACTTGAGACACGCACGCCTCCTACTGTCTAAGTGCATGTCTCTTGGCTTAGGCACTAATGGTTTCTCTAACATGCCCATGGGACTGACTGCACTGTGGAATACACAGTAGAAAATGATAGAAATTTGCAAACAGAGTAACAAAAAGTAGTCAAGAGTGGTAAGTGCATTACGTATGTAGACATCATTAGAAATACAATGGCAGGTCGGGCGCAGTGGCTCAAGCCTGTAATCCGAGCACTTTGGGAGGCGGAGGAGGATGGATCACGAGGTCAAAAGATCGAGACCATCCTAGTCAACATGGTGAAACCCCGTCTCTACTAAAAATACAAAAAATTAGCTGGGCGTGGGGGTGCGTGCCTGTAATCCCAGCTACTCAGGAGGCTGAGGCAGGAGAATTGCCTGAACCCAGGAGGCGGAGGTTGCGGTGAGCCGAGATCGCGCCATTGCACTCCAGCCTGGGTAACAAGAGCGAAACTCCGTCTCAAAAAAAAAAAAAAAGAAATACAATGGCAAGAAATCATTTCTGTATATTATTTACAAGGGCAAAGGTTCAAAACGTTCAAATTCATTAAGAATAAATTTAATTTGATTAAAACATTCTGAATTATGGCCACAAAAGAGATAACATCTATAATTTCCCAAAAATGTGAATCCTTAGAAAAACCATAAGAGATACAGGAAATAGAATGCCAAAAGGTTAATAAGCTCTTCAGTATGTTAATTTTGAAGCTTTCCATTTTTCTACTTCATATGACATAGTCATAAATGTTGGCACTGGTGTTTGACTCAAAACCCACTTAGTTACTTCACAGCCTTACCTGCAGATCCCATGCTCTTTGTGTGTCAAGAAGGCAAATAGGCGAACCCAGGCCATACGTGTATACAAGGTCACGAAGACGGAAGTAGTATACGGTATAAATGCTTTTAGAAACGTTAGTATCATAATTAATTAGCTCCAAGAAGTTCATTTCCAACTTATTCCTGGGGAAGGAGAAACACAACAGAACAAACACAGGACCATGTTAGTTCACTGGGCTATCTTCAAAAACATTATTCTCATGTAAGAAATGTGGTAAGGCCATCATGTGCTCTAGTTTATTAGAATTCATAAAATAACTCACACTGGACAGAACCCGATCTAGTGAAGAAATACAAGAAAGAGTGCAACTTTCCCAATTCCCTTTGAAAACTCAGAAAAAAAACTTGTACCTGAAATGAGACATGAATGTAAAAAATGTTAATAAACTTGATTTTCCCTATGTTCCTTTTCAAAGACATATTCACATTTAACATGGAGAAAGATGACATAAACTTAAGAAACATGGTAAAGGCTTCGGCTTTTTTACTTCTCTGAAAACATGAAAGGATTCAATGGGAAATTCCTTATAAATAGAAACATGTGATAAGGTCTTCAGTTGTTCCAGTTCCACAAGAAGATAAGAACTCCTTTCTGAAAAAAAACCTATGAATGTATAGAATGTAGAAATGCCTTCATTTACATGATATTTGCTCCAAGACCCATGATAATACACACTGGAGACAGACCTTATAAATATAAGAAAGCACACTGGATTGGAACCCTGGTAGATTACCAAATACAGAAAAGTTTACAGTTTTAAGAATTTCTTCAACATTGATGTGAAAACTTTCCCTAGAGGGAAATCCTACTCATGTTCATAAATTGAAAAGCCTGATGCAAATTCATTCTTGTATAATCTTCAAAAAGATACATAAGTAAATGTTACCCTACTTCTATTTTGTTTCTCAGTGATTCTTCATTTGAAAGGTTCTCTGTATTACTTCCACTTCTTTTGCAAAAAATCACTGAAGTTACAATTTTGTAGATACTTTTTAAACAATACTATATGCATTTAATAGCAGTTGTTTTTATTAAGTCAGGTAAACAAACTTTTCTCTAGTTATTTAAAAATATCACACTGAGCTACCAGAATGGCTCCAAATTCTGTTTTGATACACTTGGAAGTGGGTTCCTACACTAATGTCCAAACAGGGCACAGCTGCTTGCAATCCATTCTGAATCCAGCACCCCAAGATTGGGATGAGGCGAAAGACCTCCTCTGTACTTGTGCAGCTGACTCGGGATCATTCTTGAGCGTTCCATTGCACAACTCAGACTTCCCGGTCACTCCCAAGACACCACAATAGTGATCAGATGACAGAAATGATGAATACCATTTATTAGCTGTCACTATTATGGGGCAGGAATACTCTTTACACTTCCAATGGTAGAAAGATCAGAGAGATACATCTTGGCTAAACTAAACTCATTTTATGAGATGCCTTCTGGTAGGGTGCCAGCCTTACGCACTGTTTCTCCTGAGTTGAGTTAGAAATGAAACCCCAAGGTGCTCAGCATCTGTCACCCCTGGCCACAACAGAATGTGGGGATGAGTTGAATGCACTGAGAGGGAAACAGGCTCGAAGCAGCCCTCTGCAGCATGATTATTCACCTGTCCTGACCAAAGGTTGTTTTTGTTTTTCTGAGACAGGGTCACTTTAGTGCAGTGACATGATCCTAGCTCACAGCAGACTCAACCTCCCAGGCTCTAGTAACCCACGCAACTAAGCCTTTCAAGGCTTGGAACTACACGCTCGTGCCACTTAACTGGGCAATTTTTAAAAATTCCTTTTGTAGAGACAGGGTCTCACTTTTTGCCCAGGCTGGTGTTAAACTCCTGTGATCAAGTGGATACTCCTACCTTGGCCTCCCAAAGTGCTGGTATTACAGACATGAACCACTGTATCCAGCACTTGGTCAAATGTTTAAATAAATACAAAACAGGAGTAATCTTCCCACTCTCATAGTAATCACTGTGAAGACTTAATTGCATAAAACAATATCTCAACAGCACACTTGGTTTCTTGCTTTTAATGTTTCATGTTTTATCCACTGGCTAAGTCAACAAATGCTTGAAGTTCTCCGGTATGGAAAGCAGTTAGGATATAAGCAGACATGAGGTTTTCTCACTGGTTTCACTGAAAACCCAGCTGAAACTACTTCCAACATTAATTTCCTATTCAAATAACCACAAGGCTGTGATGGGAATGTCAGTCAGATATGAATAATCAGCTGACCAGGACTTAATTTACTATAGGAACATATGCACTTCACAATCTCTTTTGTGTATTTCCATAAACATATTTTAACTGTGTAAAATATGGTATTTCATAGAATGATCGTGTTTATTAATAGTAGTTATTAAAGACAACAATCATCCCTACAGAATATGTATCTCCTTAGTTTTTTTATTTTTATTTTTATTTTTTTATTTTTTTTTAAATTTTTTTGAGATGGAGTTTCGCTCATTACCCAGGCTGGAGTGCAATGGCGCGATCTCGGCTTACCATAACCTCCGCCTCCTGGGTTCAGGCAATTCTCCTGCCTCAGCCTCCTGAGTAGCTGAAATTACAGGCACACGCCACCATGCCCAGCTAATTTTTTGTATTTTTAGTAGAGACAGGGTTTCACCATGTTGACCAGGATAGTCTTGATCTTTTGACCTCATGACCCACCTGCATCGGCCTCCCATAATGCTGGCATTACAGGCTTGAGCCAGCGCACCCATCCCCAATATGCAATCTTTTATCCATCACCCCCCTCCCAACCTTCCCCCTCTAGTCCCCAAAGGCCACTGTATTATTTTATGACTTTGGATTCTCACGGAGAATACATATTTGGTTTTCCATTCCTGAGTTACTTCACTCAGAATAACAACCTCCAGCTCCAACCAGGTTGCTGTAAAGGCCATTATTTCATTCTGTTTTATGGCTCAGCATTATTGCATGGTATGTGTATTCGACATTTTCTTTGCCGATTAATTGATGGGCATTGATGCTGGTTCCACATTTTTACAATTGTAAACTGTGCTGCTATAAACATGCATGTGCATTTGTCTTTTTCATATGACTTCTTTTCCTTTGGGTAGATACCCAGTGTGAGATTGCTGGATTGATGGCAGTACTGTTTCCACAGTGCTTGTACTAGTTTACATTCCCATCAGCAGTGTAAGTGTTCCCTTTGACCAAATCCGTACCAGCATACATGATTTTTTGATTTTTTAATTCTCGCAAGAGTAAGGTGATATTACATTGTAGTTTTAATTTGAAATTCCCTGATAATTAGTGATGTTTCTGAAGAAAAATACATCCTAACAAGACTAACAGATGTTGAAAAGTTTGAAAAAACCCTGATAGACACTAATTTTTAAAAGGTTCAATTTACAGTCAAAAAGAGACCATTATAAACAATCAACAGTAGAGGGACAAGATAAATGTGCATTAAACATTTTGTTGTAATGTTTTTCAATCTCCAAAGATCATGAGCATAGCTCCTCTTCAGAGCATAGCTCCCGATGCTTCTGCGTTCACAAATGGCACTATGTAGAACTGGGGCTGGCCTCTGTCATCACTGTCTCTGGAGTGATGGACACCTGCACATTTCTCTGTGTATTCTCTGACCTTGGAACTAGAGCTAGAGCACCACCAGATTAGCTGCAGGTCTTGAGATCAATTTAACTGCCACTATAGCGGAGCTAAGTGTTTCTCATTACAAATTTTGCTCCCTTCAAGAAACCAGTTTACAAGCTGGGCACAGTGGCTCATGCCTATTATCCCAGCACTTAGGGAGGCTAAGATGGGTGGATCATCTGAGACCAGGAGTTCGAGACCAGCGTGACCCATGGAGAAACAACATGGAGAAACCCGTGAAGAAAGAAATTAAATAATAACATTAGTAGTCTGTAATTGCTACATAAGAAAAGTTTACTCGTTCCGTTCAATATAAAACCTAACCCCCAGCTCTGCTTGAAATTAACTAACTCCCTAACAAATCTACCTTATCTACTCTCCCTACTTTTTCAGCAAAGTTCCCGGGCATCTCAGGACTCCCGTTTTTCTTGCAGACCAGCTGCAAGGTCACGGGGTAATATAACACCAAAGAATGTGCAATGTGTTTCTGAAAATGCGATTTTCAAACATAACATACATCACAAGACATGTCACAAGTTAACTGTTCCTTCTCTGGCTTCTGTAAACCTGTTAATTGCTATGTCATCCTGGCTGTATAAAAAATCAAGCCCTGTCTTTGTCAGGCTCTCAGCCTGGGGATGCAAATCCGCCGAGCTGGTGGCCACCTCAATAAAATCCTCCTGTTTCACCCATTGGTCTCTCCAGGCTCCTGAATATTATGTAACACCCCATCTCTACTAAAAATAGAAAATTAGCTGGGTGTGGTGGCACATGCCTGTAATCCCAGCTACTCAGGAGGCTGAGGCAGGAGAACTGCTTGAACCCAGGAGGCGGAGGTTGCCGTGAGCCAAGATCCCCCCATTGCACATTGTTGCCTAGGCAGCAAAAGCAAAACTCCATCTCTCTCTCTCTCTCTCTCACACACACACACACACACACACACACACACACACACACACACACATTCACTCACACAAAGAAACCAGTTTACAAATTGATGACAGTAGTGATTAAACAAACTTTAGCTTCTGCAACTTTCAAATGACATTCATTTTCTGTTAAATCTTTTACTAAAATGGCTACTAGCAATATCACCATGACAACTCAGTTTATACTATTGGCAAAGTGGTAACTTAGCAGCCATTTGAACAGCAACCAACCATCACTAGTCTCTTCTTGGTTACAAGAAGCCTCATTTCAACTGTAAATATACACTGTGGTAATTCTGAATGAAAGTCTTTAAAAATTTTGGGGGGTACATTGTAGGTGTACATATTTATGGGGTATAATTATTTGATACAGGCCTATAATGTGTCATAATCATATCAGGGTAAATGAAAAATTAATCGCACCTCAAGCATGTGTTTATTTATTTATTTATTTTTAACAAATAATTCAGTTATACTCTTTTAGTTACTCTAAAATGTAAATTATTCTTGACTGTTGTCACCCTGTTGTGCTTTCAAATACTAGATGTTATTTATTCTTTCCAACCAAATGTGTGCACCTATTAACCATCACCCCTTACTCCTCTCATCCTCCATACTACTTTACCAGCAGCTGCAAACAATTCTCCTACTCTATATCTTCATGAGTTAAATTGTTTTAATTTTTAGTTCCCACAAATCAGTGAGAATAGGTGAATTTTGTCTTTTTGTGTCTGGCTTAGTTCACTTAACATTTCCATCCATGTTGTTGCAGATAACAGGATCTCATTCTCCTTTGTGGTTGAAGAGTGCTCCATTGTGTATATGAACCATTTTTTTTAGCCACTCATCTGCTGATGAATGCTCAGAATGCTTCCAAATCTTGGCTCCTGTGAATAATGCTGCAACATACATGAGAGTGCAGGTATCTCTCTGACATACTGATTTCCCTTCTTTTGGGTTTATACACAGCAGTGAGATTCCTGGATTATACGGTGGCTCTATTTTTAGTTCTGAGGAACTCCAAACTGTTCTCCATAGTGGCTGTATTTAAATTACATTCCCACTTACAGTGTACAGGCATTACCTTTGCTCTATATCCTCACCAGCATTTGTTATTGCCTTTTACGATAAGAGCCATTTTAAGTACGGTGAGATGATCGCTCATTGTAATTTTGATTCGCATTTCTCTGAACATCAATGATACTGATGTTGAGTATCTTTTCATATACCTGTTTGCCATTGGTATGCCTTTCTTAAGGAGTTTTCAAACACATCTCACTTTCTCAATCAGGTTGGAGTGCAGTGGTAGAACCACAGCTCACTGCAGCCTTGACCTCCCAGGCTCAGATAATTTTCACACCTAAGCCTCCTAAACAGCTGAAATTACAGGCACATGCCACCAAGCCTGCCTAAAATGTCCTCTTTTCAGAAAGGTCTATTCAGGTATTTTGCCCATTTTAAAAATCAGATTATTTTTTTTCTATGGAGTTATTTGAGCTCCTTAAGTATTCTGGTAATTAATCCCTTGTCAGATAGTTTTCAAATACCTTCCCCCATTCTGTGGGTTGTCACTTCACTTTGTTCACTGTTTCCTTTGTTGCACAGAAGCTTTTTAACTTGATGTGACCTAATTTGCCCATTTTTCCTTTGGTTGCCTGTGTTTATAAAACATTATGCAAGAAATATTTGCCCAGTCCTATATTGTGGAGAGTTTTCCCAATGTTTTATTTTAGTTTTGTATTTGAGGTCTTATATTTAAATCTATTTTTAGTTTTCTAAAAGACAGAGATACTGCACTGCCCAGATAGTCTTGAACTCCTGAGCTCAAGCCATTCTCCCATTTTGGTCTCCCAAAATGCTGGGATTACAAGTGTGAGCCACCACGCCCAACTTAGATTTACATCTTTAATCCATTTTGATTTGATGTTTGTATAAGGTAAGAAATAGGGGCCTGGTTTCATTCTTCTGCATGTGGATATCCAGTTTTCCCAGCACCCCTTACCGACAGACTGTCATTAACCCATTGCATGTGCTTGGCACCTTCATAGACAATGAGGTCACTGCAGATGTATGAATGGGTTTCTGGGTTTCTATTCTGTTTCACTGGGCTACGTGCCTGTTTTTAATCACAGTGCCATGCTGTTCTGGTTACTACAGGTTTAGAGGGTAACTTGAAATTAGATAATGTAATTCCCCCAGGTTTGTCTGTTTATGCTCAGGGTTGACTTTGAATATTCTGAGTCTTTTGTAGTTGCCTGTATATTTTAGGATTCATTTTTTTTACTTCTATTTCTGTGAAGAATGTCATTGGTTTTTGCAGAATTGTGGAGGTTCCATGTTGGTGGTCTGAGATCAGACCTGAAGTAATTCTCTAGATTAATGGACCCAGACTTGCTTCTTCACTTTCCCACAAATGAAGTCTGTCTCTCTGTGCTAAGCTTCCTGGAGCTGGGAGAGGAGTGATACAAGCACCCCTGTGGCCATGACCTCTGGGACAGCATTAGGTCTGTCCAGATGGCACTAGGAGTTGCAGTTCTTGTGACCTAAACAGTCTTTCAGGTTTATTAAAAACCCCAGACTATTTTATCCCATGGCAGCCAGGCTTTCATCACTCAAGTTCCAACCATGGGGATGAATAATTCCCCTATTGTTGGGGCTAGTCTGTTTTTTCTTTGGGTGCATTCAGCTTTGTTTTGCTTTCTGCTATGACAAGGCAGCAGTGAGTTCAGGCAAAGTCCTGCAGCTGCTGTGCTCTCCCTTCCCCAAGCATGTAGCCTCTCTCCTTGCCACAGGTTCACAGTGGTGGCATCAACAATTCAAGACGGTCTTTTCTACGCTGTTCAGTCACGTCATATGAACATTTAAATAATTTTCAGTTCTTATGGAGGTGCTTTTTTATTTAGATAGTTGCTAAAGTTGTTATTCCTGTGGGGAGCACAATTGGCAGAGACTTCTATTTGTGACTGCATACATCCTGAATCACAGTCTTATCTGGAGTAATAGGCAAACATAAAAACAAACAAACAAAAAACCTGAAATACTAAAACCTCTTGCCACAGCCTGAGGATCTTCATCTTCATATGCTTCATATGCTTCCATGTCAAGAGGTGTTCCTTCAGATTTTCCTAAGTGTCACCCACAAAGCCATTCTCGCTGACTAGCGGACACTGTGAGAGCATGTCCTGGAAATGCCTCCCTGGTGCACCCTACCAACCAGCTCCAAGACCCTTCCCTTTACAGCAGTCATGAGGCCAGACTGAAAGAAAGACCCATGAAGCTCCTGTTTCAGTGTCATGTTGCCATCTGTGAGCAACCCTCATGATTTAGAAAGATTTCTTGCATTCTCACAGATAACTTGGGGCCCTCCAAGTGCTGCTGTGGTTGCATTAATGCCCTGGGAACCTCCTGAGTGTGGTGAGCATTGGGTGATGCCCCAGAAATGTTTCTCAGACTGCCCGAGGGGAACACTGGAACTTCTAACTCATCAGCCCAGTGATGCAATGCTCCTAATGGGGAGAAAACAGGGGCACAGGGAACTGTGGCTATTCCATATCTCAAGGTTTCTATAAAACGGATCTTTAGAAAAAAGTGGGAGAACACCAGCAAACGCAAATATGCAATGTATGGCTCAGGGTGAAGCTGTACTTCACAATGCAGAGGCCCCAGACCTGTCAATGGGCAAACAATTATTTCAAAGACCAGATGTGCGCTCTTCACAAAGAGACTAGAACTTGCAGGCAGCTTGTAAAAGCCGTAAGAAAACTGACTGTACTATTATGTTTCTCATTGTACACTGGTAAGATATTTGCCAAAAACATTCACCAGAAAAATACTTTTTCATTTACAAGATTATTACAATGGCAATTTACCAAGACCCACCAATGAATAGTGAAAAATATGAACTACTCTTCTAAAACTGGGGAGAAAAAAAGAGTGGTGTTTATGCCCATTCTTATTATTTGCATAATGTAAACTTTAAAAGTATTTCTCAAAGTGTTGAAGTTTATGGGAGCAAATAAAGTATTCAAAAATGGTTAGAAAGTTCACAAAAACCATACAAACTTACAGATCGTCAACTGTAGTTTTCTCAAAGCGCCTGCACAAGTCTTTATTGCACACAGGTACATTGCTCCGAACCTTGATGGCAACAAGAATGGCTCCGAGGATAATCCTCCTCCAGGTGGCTGAACAAATGTAGATACGAGAATACCGTATAAGTCTTTGGATGTACACCTGCAAAACAGCATTGGCCTTTGATTTAACTCAGTTTAAGTGCTGTGATAAGAACTCTTATGAAAAAGCAGAATACTTCTGGTTTTGACCAGAAAGATGCCTTTTATTCTTATGTTCTACGAAGACTTTGTTTCATCAGGTTAAGTAAGGGGCCATATCACAATCATAGCCCAAATATTTCTGTTACCTACTCTGCCCACCAGGGTAGATTAACACATCCAAGGAACAATGAACTGAGGGCAGAAGCTCTCAATCACAACATACATGAGAATTGCCTGGGGATACACCCTGGGACTCAGCTTAGACCTACAATGGCACGCATTCCTGCCCATGAACCAGATGGTCTTGTTACTGTTCTTCATTCCAAGCCCTCCACATGCTCTGGATGTGAGCACACTGCATGTGCATGTGTGCACTGAAGTGTGGTGGGAGAAATCAGAAATCACTCCTGCTGCCTTTAATAGCAATTGTTCTGTAATCATAAACCCAAGGCAACATTTAAGCCATAATGATGATTCAACTCTAATGTGTGTATTTCCTGTCATAAGTTTCTCTTAAAGTTCTGAGATAATTTCAGAAACCTATTTTCACTTAAAATCAGGAACATACTACCCTGTTTACAAGATCAATTTCTTTTTTTTTTTTCTTTTTGGAAATAGAGTCCTGCTCTGTTGCCTAGGCTGAAGTACACTGGCTTAATCTCGGGTCACTGCACTCTGCCTCCTGAGTTCAAGCAATTCTCCTGCCTCAGTCTCCGAAGTGGATGGGACTACAGGGGCATGTCACCATGAGTGGCTAATTTTTGTATTTTTGGGTGAGACAGAGTTTAACCTCGTTGGCCAGGCCACTCTACAAGACCAATTTCTAAAGATGCTTTATAAATAGGAAATATCTTACCATAATTATGATGGCGACAGCAACCTTTAGACTTTTTACATAAAACAGGGTACGTATAAATTTGTAAATCATTGTCTCTGAAGGATCATACATAATGTATTCTTCTGTTCTGTACTGAAAGAAAGGATGCAATGTAAGTATCCATTGAAGAGAAAACCTGAAGTGCTCTTAAGACAGCAGTGTTCACATTTGTGCCCATGTACCATTTACAATGATTTTGATGGGTGAGACGTCTTTCAGTTTTTACAATATGAACAGTGGGATCTTAAAGTACCATAATAATTTAATACTCATCAACATTCACTTAAAAATCATATGAGCTAAAGGGCAGAAAATTTTTTTTCTTTTTTACCCTTTGCACCACATAATTCTATCTAAATGTAAGCTACCCTTAGGCTTTAATGCCTTACTGATGGCATGTCATTCTCTGCAATAAACTTTGAGAAAATACAGTTTCCTGTAACCATGAGGCTCTAAGCCTACGCTGTTAAATACAATAGTCACTAGCCATATGTGGCTATTATGTACTTGAGGAAGTGCATTTTTAAATTTTTATAACATGTAGGTTGATTTAAACTTAAATTATTTTTAACTCTCTTCATAAATGTCATGCTTCTGTGTTAAAAGTATTTACATATACTCATATTGCTTGATGCTACTAATAACTGTCTTTTAAAACATACATTTTCTGTTACTTTGATAGATTTACTCATACTAGTTCACTCACTAAACAGAGCTGCAGATCAGTTCTTATTCTAACACATTCTTTTTACAACACCTAAGAGGACTAAATGCAACACGAAATGGGGAAAATTTAAAGACAGCTTTGACATCAGCATGAAAGAAATACAAGTCTATGATAAAAATACAACCTCAATAAAAGTGCCACTTACTTTCAATGGGTATGCATGTTCATCAAATATTTTGTAAGACAGATATCCTTCTCTATAAAATAAGAATGTGCATTACTTCAGAAACTGTTAATATCTTAGCATAATACCTGTTTAGCATAACAATGCCTCCTATGTGCTTTGGTGTTTACTTCACCAAAGCAAACAGTTTCTACAAATTATTCTCCTGGATCCCGCCCTGCAGAATGTTTCCTGACCTCTTCCTCAGCACATCATATCCTGCACTGTGAAGCCTTTTCCACAATAACCAGTCAGAACTGCCTATAGGTATCAACCCTCTTTAACAGGCAATGGCAATACACCAAACATATTTTCTCTCTTCTTCACCACCTGAAACACAAGAATGTTTTACAAAGCAGTAGTAATGGGCAATAAAGTCTTTAGGACTTTCATAAATGTAAACGTGATTCCGATTTCCTAGCCTCCTTTCTTTTTAGTCCTCTGTAGTATACTTTCATGATCAATTTATTTATTTTGTTGTTTGGATTAAAAACTCATCTGCCCTTTTATTTTAAAAGAGGCTAGTCTTTAACTTTAAACTTTGTAAAACTAATGCATTGTGCCTGTGTGATAAACCAGTGGTTCTCCAAATGTACTCTGTGGACCTCTGGGGATCCCGAAGACCCTTTCTGAGAAGGCCTAAGAGGTCAACACTGTTTTTTTCTTTGTTTTTTGTTTGTTTTTGTTTTTCTGAGATGGAGTTTCACTCTTGTTGCCCAGGCTAAAGTGCAATGGTGGGATCTTGGCTCACTGCGACCTTCGTCTCCCAGGTTCAGGTTATTCTCCTGCCTCAGCCTCCTGAGTAGCTGGGATTATGGGTGCCTACCACCATGCTCAGCTAACTTTTGTATTTTTAGTAGAAATGGGGTTTCACCATGCTGGCAAGGCTGGTCTTGAACTCCAGACCACAGGTGATCCATCTGCTTGGCCTCTCAAAGTGCTGGGATTATAGGCCTAAGCCACCGTGTCTGCTGGACACTGTTCTCATAATCATACTAATTCAATCTCAGAAAGTTGATACAATTTTTTTTTTACTTGAGAAAGTAATACAAAGACACTGACTACTTTTTCATAAACACCCGCCATAACTGTATAAAAGCAAAAATGGATAAAACTGCTGGTTTCTCAGCCTAAATCAAGGCAGTGGTACCAATTACATTGATGGTAATTCTGTTCTTTATTGTCCCTTACAGTTAAAAAGCAGTCTAAAATACTTAAGAATGTCTTTGTTGAGATGGTAAAAATTAATGGTGTTACTAAATCTTGACATGTCTCTTCAATATTCTGAATCAGTAGAAAGCTAAGAAGAAGCGCTTCTGCTGACTGCAGTATGGTTGTGTTTAAGAAACATTCATGATTTAATTGTCAGCAGAACAATCACTTTTTTCACAGATCATCATTTTTATTTAAAAGTACCACCGTGCCGGTGCAATGGTTCACACCTCTAAAATCCAAACCCTTTGGGAGACCAAAGCAGGTAGATGGCTTGAGCTCCATGAGAAGTTCGAGAGTAGCCTGGAAAGCATGGTAAAACTCTGTCTCTACCAAAAATACACAAAAATTAGCCAGATGTGGTGCCACACCTCTGTGGTCCCAGCTACACAGGAGTCTGAGGTGAGAGAATTGCTTGAGCTGAGATCATGCCAATGTACTACAGCCAAGTGACAAAGTGAGACTCAGTCTAAAAAAAAAGGACAACTACCATTATCAAAAATAAATGAACATGTGTTCCCAATGATAAATTAAGCTTTCCTGAGGACTTTGAAAATCTCGCTCCTTCTACTGTAGGCTTGACAGCTTTTCAACACTTAAAGACTTTTAAAATAATATTGGTGGTTAAAAGTGATTTTTGACACAATAAAACATAAACCAATATATTCCAAATAACTAATGCATGATAGTATAAATGCAACATGGGGGAAAAGATCCATTTACCATGCAAGACAGATTAGTGAGTACTGATTTTAAAAAGTAGCACTTGTCAAGTTTTCACTTATCATTAAACACCCACAGCTGTCTCAAAGCTTTAAAAATGCACCTTTTACCAACTACATATTTGCACGAGATTAGGTCATGTCACTGCTTCCCTTTTTTGACTACAGGCATGCACTATCAAGCCCAGCTGTTTTTTGTATTTTTAGTAGAGACGGGTTTCACCATGGTGGTCAGGCTGGTCTCAACCTTCTGACCTCAAATAAATCTGCCTGCCTTGGCCTCCCCAAAGTGCTGGGATTGCAGGTGCCTCCCACCACACCTGGCCATCTTATTGCTTCTTAAAGCAAATTGCAAAGAAAGACCTAGAGAATCCAGCTGTCTTCTACCAAGTGTGACATTCGGGGTTTTCAATAATATAAATACATGACACTTTTTACTCTACTTTTTGTTGTAGAAAATCTATTTTCTCATTTAAAAATCTATTTTAACAATATTGTTCTCAAGGAGTATTTTCTGTTGTCACAACCTGGGTCATGGGTTACTACTGACATCTACTTGGTATAGGCCACCAGTGCCGCTAAACTTTCTGCAATGCACAGGACAGTCCTTGTGACAAAGCGTTATCTAGATCAAGATATTAACAGTGGTAAGGCTGTGAAATCTAAACTAAAAATAGATTTTGAAATAAAATCTCAATTTTATAGTTCTATGACAGTAAATATCAATATCATCAATATAAATACATACTCTTTGAGATTCACAATCATTTAAGAATTAAAAGTGTTACGGACCAAAGAAAACACAAATAATTTGCTTGGATATTTTAGTAGACCCGATACAGCTCTCGATGTCCAGAGCTGTGACCTAAAGGGCTTCATAGCTTGCAAAGTAATTAGCCAGAATAACAAGACAGTTTTTTAAAAAGCTCACCTGTCCTTGATAAGAAAATAGAAGTCCAAGGCGACACTGTGGAAGGAAAAACATTCAATATAACAATAGATATTATCAATTGTTAGGTCTGAAGACATTTTTTTAAAAAGGGTGTGGTGGAAACTCTCCTAGAGGCCCTGAAATTAAAACCTCGTAGTTCAGAAAAGTATCATAAGGGCACTTTGTTTTCATTTCTTGGGTTTTAGCAAAAATATGAGAATAAAAATGCAAGGCAATACAATACCCTGTTAGAAAACATGTTTCTGTTGATGATTATAATTTATAAATAATAACATATTTCCCTGTTATATGTTCTTCTACCCACAAACCTTTAATCACATGCAATTTATTTTATGTATTTATTTACTGTGTGACCCAGAGTCTTCCTCTGTTGCCCAGAGCAACCTTGGCTCACCACAACCTCCACCTGCCGAGTTCAAGCAATTCTCATGCCTCAGCCTCCCAATTAGCTGAGACTACAGCTTGGTGCCACTATGCCCGGCTAATTTTTGTATTTTTAGTAGGGATGGGGTTTTGCCATGATGGTCAGGTTGATCTCAAACTCCTGGCCTCAAGTGATCTGCCTGCCTCAGCCAAGTTCTGAAATTACAGCTTGAGCCACCACACCCTGACTCATGCAATTTATATCTATGGCTTTTGCATAATTATTAGAAAATATATCAGTAAACATAAGCTCACATGACATCAATAATAGGTACAGCAATCCTAAAATAAGCAGTGCTAACAAGGTAGTGTAGCACGATACAGTGTAATATCAATGGCAGGTATCTTCAGTTAGTTTAACGAAATATTTATGAACACACAAAACTCTTCAGATATATGTAACTGTATTCCTAAGTTACCCACTGATGCTCTGTTTCAGAAAACAAGAGGTTCTCTTACATAAGTTATGTGCTTCCATTTGCCCTCAGTGTCTACAATGAGGGTCAAAATAACTGAGGGAAGGCAAATCTCAATTTTAATAATAGGTCAATACAGTATCAGCACTTTTTAGAAAGCCTGTAACATTAGCACTTCAGAGGGATACTTCTATAGTGCATTAAGTAGTTTTCATCGCTGAAAAAATTTTAAAATCACAGAATTTGAAGTTATATCCTGGAAAGGACCAATGACCTTACAAGACATTTAATGCAACACTAATTTTACAGGTCAGGGAAACAAATCTTAAAACTGACTTGCCCAAGGTCCAAATAGGAGCAGTTTCTTGCCCTAAACTCAAATTAGGCAGTGGCTCTAAATTTTGCTGCACATTAAAATCACCTGAGAAGCCTTAATAACTGCCTCATTTTCAATAATTAGCATTGGATATAACTTTGGCCATTAGGGTTGCTGGTAGAAGTTTCCCAGGTGATTTCAATGTGCAGCAAAATTTGAAATGATTGAGTTGGGATGAAAATCAGAACCTTCTGGGATGCTTTTCTTCACATAAAGATGCTGTGTTTTCCTAAAAGGCTTCTCAGTGCCTGAAGGAAGAGGGAAAGTGGAGATTAGAGAATACATGTATTTGCAGACATGTATTTTGAAGACAAATTTTGTAAAAGTGATCCCAATGAGTTCCACCTATCCCACTGGTAACAGTGCACTACTAAATTGTGATGAACATTTTTCAAAATCTTTTCCTGAAGCCAATTTGCCCTATTAATTTGCTCAATAAACCTCTATTTCACCAAGAGTGAATACACCAAATGATCATTTCTCAAACTTGCTGACGGCAAATTAAAACTTACTTTACTTTTGAAGGTAGACTTCTAAAAATTAGAAGAATGAGGAAAAAAGCATGAAATTTGTTTGAACAAGACTATCTTCAAAGCTACTTTGGCATGCTATGCTAACACATAAAAATCGCTTGCATTCAAAAGCAGCCAGGGACTTTAGCCAAAGTAGTTTGTTTGTTTTTATGCTCAAAGATTTAAGAGACAGCCAGGTGTGGTGGCTCATGCCTGTAATCCCAGCACTTTTGGAGGCAGAGGTGGGCAGATCACCTAAGATTGAGAGTTCAAGACCAGCCTGACTAACACGGAGAAACCTCAACTCTCCAAAAAAACAACAACAAAAAAACCAAAATCAGCTGGCTGTGGTGGTGCATGACTGTAATCTTAGCTACTTGGGAGGCTGAGGCAGAATTGCTTGAACCTGGGAGGTGGAGGTTGTGGTGAGTCAAGACGGTGCCATTGAGTCTGGGCAATAAGACAAGAGGAAAACTCCATCTCAAAAAGAAAAAAAAAAAAAGAAAACAAGAAGAAAAAGAAAAAAATTGATGAAACTTGGCTGACTACAGACATTTAGTGATTACTCAATAGGTCCCAAAGCTCAGCACCTAAGACGTAATTTGTCCAATTTGTGCTGAAACAAAATTTCATCTCAACTATTGTTATAAGGGAGGGAGGAAAGTGACATTATTATGAGTGTAAACCTGCCATTTTTACAGTTACTGAAAATTGAATTTGCTAAAAAGGCTAGTGCATTCAAAACAAAATTGTTTATAAGATAGCTAGTTATATTTCTAGAATGAAAAGAAAACTTAAATGTAAGGACATTAATATTCTAAATTAGCACTTTGCAAACTGTGCTCTAAAAATCAACACTCATAACCAAGGAGATGATAATAATGTACCATGGACAGCCCCTGTCCATGATGGTGTTGGTGGTTGTTCCTTTTAAAAAATAAACTTCATCCAGAGTGCTCTCAAAGTGCATCTTTGTGGCCCATGAGGTGCTCATGCATGATGGGAGAAATTCAGATGCAGATACACTGTGGTGCCAGAGGAGAAAAAACTGTTCCTTCTTCTAAGACTAATGTCCAAAGTAGTACACATTGACTGAGGCCTGCAATGCATTGAAAAACTAATTTTTCATAAAAAAAACATTCAATAAAGACAACCTATTCTTCTCACTGCATTCAATATTCTTTTAAGGCATAAAGAAAAGCAACACTTTTTCTGAAATTGCTTATTTGCTAAGAGATTTTTCCTTCCACCATGATGTAGAAGATGAAAAGAGAAATTGATACTTAATATTTAGAATCTGGTATCAACATAGAGTTGACTCCAATTTCTTAAAGTGGTTGAAGAGGACAATCAAATGGCTGAAATAATTTTAATAGTTGTACTCACGATTTTAGTGTCGTTTCAAAATGAGGGCAGCTGGCTGTACTGTCTTCAAGGAAAATTGTCGAGCATGAACTGAATTTCAAAGAAAAACGATCCATACATATCTAAAGAAGAAGGGAAGGATAAGGTAAACTTTGATCAAAGTGTGTTTCTTTTTTCTCAGTTAAAATGTCCAATGACAAAGCATTAAGATATTTCTTACACTCCATGAACTGCCTGAGTGTGATATCATGTGCACTGTATAGAAAAACCAGTGGAGGCTCTTAACTTCCAGAGGTGATATTGAGATATGGGTTAGAAAATGCCGCTCTTAATATGCTACCTATCATCAAACCTAACAAAGATTTTATGAATTCTCTTTCTAAATAATGACAAGAGTTTAAAATACAATTTCATTGTTTTTTCTACCATGATATAAAGCAGCTGAGAATTTCTATTAATTTATTACAATAAAATGTATTGTATTAAATAATACTGGTACAAGAGAAATTTATTGCAATGAATACAAGACTAATGTATTTACAAACTTACTAATCCTACATGTATTATTTCAGGCAATACGGTGACAAAACAGGTGTTTCACATTCAGAGGTTCTGTGTGCCAGGGTTGCTAGGCCACCACCAAGTGAGGAAGCCATAGGTTTCTCTAGTCCTATTTTCTTATGTGGAGGATAAAAAAATTATCACTTAAATATTCTCTCACACCCTGAAAACAGGTAACAACTTAAAAAATTTAACTTTCATTTCATGTTTAAATAAGACTGCCATGACATGACTCAAATGAAACTCTCAGAGAATACTTGCCATTCATTTCAAAAGTTGATTGATTTCATTCTATAAATCATCTGACCTGCACCTAGGCATTTTCCTGCTATACCCTTGCTCTCTGCCTAGAAGACTGTTTTTCTCTCTCCTTGTTTCAGGAAGCTTGATTCCATCTACCTTCTTGGATCTTTCTGCCAGCAGCCACACACACACACAAAGTTTTGTTTTTGTTTTTTTATACACTAATTGATCAATTTCACCACTGGTTACAAGATACTAATTCTTGCTGAGTATTTCCCTCATGAGAAAGTATGCCTCTCCATAAGAATAAGGGAGGGCTCTTACTCTTTCTATTTCCAGCTGCTGAGCACAGAATTTTGAATAAATCAAAAACTTAAACAAGTATTTAATAAATTAATTCAGTTATAATTTGGAAAATAAGTCTTACTAAACTTAATTACACCAAAAACACTCCTAATGGTTTACTGTTTATAGGTATTATTTAAGGTAGTGAACCAAAAAAAAAAAAAAAAAAACAAATCATCTAACTGCAGTCAGCATGAATAAAGAGTGTGAAATTTTATGATCTTTAACAAGAAGTGGAAGGGGTTACATAGTAGGTTAACAACAAAAACTTGAAAATAATTACACCTAGTAATTTAGTAAGTCAAAACCAAAGGCTTACCATCAAAGGTCCATGTAGAGGTCTTTCACTTCCTTGGTTAAGTCTATTCCTAAGTATTTTATTTTATTTTTTCAACTATTATAAAAAAGGCTGAGTTTTTATAACTCTGTTATACCCTCAGCATTCATGGTTAGGGTATAACAGAGTTACTGATTTGTGTACGCTAATTTTGTCTCCTGAAACCTTGCTAAATTCATTTATCAGTTTCTTGGAGCTTTCTCGGAGAGTCTTTGGGGATTTCTAAGTATAAAATCATATCAGCAGCAAACAGTCACAGTTTGAATTCCTATTTACTGATCTGGATGCCCTTTATTTCTTTCTCTTGTGTGATTGCTCTGGCTAGGTCTTCCAGTACTATGCTGAATATAAGTGATGAGACTGGGGCATCCTTGTCTTGTTCCAGTTCTCAAGGGGAATGCTTTTAACTTTTCCCTCTTCAGAATTATGTTGGCTGTGGGTTTGTCATAGATGGCTTTTATTACATTGGGGTATGACCTTTGTATGCCAATTTTGCTGAGGGTTTTCATCATTAAAAAATGCTGGATTTTGTCAAATGCTTTTTCTGTGTCTATTGAGATGATCATGTGATTTTTTTTTTTCCAAATTCTGTTTACGTGGTGTGTCACATTTATTGACCTGTGTTATGTTCAGCTATCCCTGGATCCCTGGTATGAAACCCATTTCATCACAGTGATCTTTTTAATATGCAGTTGGGAAGGACAAAACATTGCTGAATGAAATGATGGACACAAACAAAAGGAAAGACATCTTTTGCTCATAAATGAATTGTATGAATATTGTAAAAATGAGCATATTGCCAAAAGCAATCTACAAATTCAATGAAATTTCCATCAAAATACCATAATCCTTCTTCACAGAAGTAGAAAAAAATAATACTAAAAGTGATATGGGACCAAACAAGACTCCACATAGCAAAATCAAAATTAAGCAAAAACAACAAATCTGGAGGCATCAATCACATTCCCTAATCTCAAACTATACTATAAAGCCGTAGTTACTAAAACAGCACGAAACTGTTATAAACACAGGCACATACACCAATGGAACAGAAGAAAGAACCCATAAATATACCCAAAAATTTATAGCCAAATGATCTTCAACAAAGCCAACTCAAATATAAAGTGAAGAAAGCAAACCCTATACAACAAATTATGCTGGGATAATTGGCAAGCCATATGCAGGAAAATGAAACTGGATCCTCAACTATCACCATACACAAAAATCAACTCAAGATAAATCAAGCATATAAATCTATGCCTGAAACCATAAAAATTCTAGAAGACAACCTTGTAAAAACCCTTCTAGACACTGGCTTAGGCAAAGACTTCACGACCAAGAACGCAAAAGCAAATGCAACAAAAACAAACAGGTAAGACTTAACTGAAGAGCTTCTGCACAGGGAAAGGAACGATCGGCAGAGTAAACAGACAACCCACAGAGTGGGAGAAAGTCTTCACACTCTTATATATCTGACAAAGGGCTACTATCCAGAATATACAAGGAACTCAAACAAATTACAATTTACAAATTTCAATTACAGAAATACGCAACAAGCCCAAATGCCCAAAAGTCAATGAAGGGATAAAAAAATGTGACATAAGTGCATATATTTTATATACGTATTATATATATGATAGGAATACCACTCAGTTACAATAAGGAATAAATTAATGGCATTCCCAGGAACCTCAATGGAATTAGAGATTATTATTCTAAGTGAAGTAACTCAGGCATGGAAAACTAAACATTGTATATTCTCTTTCATACATGGGAGCTAAGCTACGAAAATGCAAAGGCATAAGAATAATACAACAAACTCTGGAAACTCAGGGGAAAGTGTGAGAAAAGGGTGAGGAATAAAAGACTACAAATCAGGTTTAGTGGATACTGATCAGGTGATGGGTGCACCAAAATCTCACATATCATCACTAAAGAACTTACTCATGTAACCAAATACCACCTGTTCCCCCCAAAACTAACCGAAATAAAAAATAAATAAACTACAGCAATCTTCTCAGCAAACATAAATAAAATAAAATAAATAAAACTAAAGTTTATGCTTTTCTCTCTCCTTTTTCGCAGGACAAATTTTAGGCATGTCTTTAAACTATTATAACTTTTTTCCTTTTTCTGAGACAAGGTCTGACTTTGTCACTCAGGCTGGAGGGCAGTGGTGCAATGATGGTTAACTGCAGCCTCAAACTCCTGTGCTCAAGCAATCCTCTGCCTCAGCTGCCTGAGTAGGTAAAACTAAAGGCATATGCCACTATGCCTGGCTAATTTGTTAGTTCACCATTTTGTAGAGATGAGGTCTTGCTTTGTTGACCAGGCTAAAAATAAATGTATCTTAATTAACTTAAATATTTGTAACACTGTGAGCATTCATGAAAAGAGCTCCATCTATGTTATGAAGTAATAAGATAATATGACAGCATATGAAGTTTGAATGAAAATAACAAACAAGGCCTTAGAAGACAACTGTAACAAGCTTATTATAGATACATCACTAAAAAAATTGTCTGGGTTAATATCATTAATGATATTAAAATTAAACTTTGATTTGCGCTTTAATATAGGTCCTAAATTTGGATTAAATATAATAGATTGATCACAAACTTATTTCTTCTCCCTCTAGACATCTCATTAGTCACAAGATAAAGGTGAAGAGAGAAGGTTGAAAAGAGATAATTTTTAATAAATGCTGAGACATAAAAAGTAGATAAAAGAGTGGTAAATAACACAGAAGCACAACTATGATGCCTCAAGAAAGTAACTGGAGGCCGGGCAAGGAGGTTCACACCTATAATCCTACCACTTTGGGAGGCCATGGAATTCAAGAACAGCCAGGCCAAGATGGTGAAACCCCATCTCTACTAAAAATACAAAAATCAGCTGGCTGTGATGGCAGTTGCCTACAATCCCAGCTACTCAGGAGGCTGAGCAGAGAATTGCTTGAACCAAGGAGGCAAAGGTTGCAGTGAGCTGAGATGTCACCACTGCACTCCAGCCCAGGTGACAAACCAAGACTGTCTCAAAAAAAAAAAAAAAAAAAAGAGAAAGTGACTGCAACAGAAGCAAGCAGTCTGTCTTGTAGAACTAAAGGTGGGCTGTGAACTTAGAGGCAAACAGCACTTTAAAAAGTAGTGCAAAATGTAAAACAAAGCCACCAAGGTCAGTTGAAAATCTGTGGTTAGAGACTCACATCCACCTGTTCTCCCATCTGATAAGAAACTTAGATGTGTGCTCCCTGGATATACCAAACCTGAGAATTTCTGGCTCCCAACTACCAAAGATTAAACCTGAGATATAAAGAAAACTATAAACCAAAAATGGAACTCCAACTTGCTTCCCTAACTCTGCTTTTGGAAAGCAAGTAGTCAGGCAGAAACTTAAAAAAATATTCCCAAGAAACTAAACTGTCTTGAATAAAGATCCCCAGGTAATACACTGAGGTCTCCCAAATGAAAAGCTAGTTGCTTCCACAACCTCACACTGAGTGCCATCAGTTAACAGAAGTCCTGCTTCCAAATCAAGTAAGCAAGCCAGAAACCACCACACATTGGAGTAAAGCCTCCAACAAGAGAGACTGAAACAACACACAAAATTCATGGGACCAGTCAAAATCAGAAGCAAAACTTTTTAAAAAATGTTAAAACTCTCCAAAAATATATATATAAAAAATTGAAGGGAAAAAATTGGAAACGAAAGCAGGTCTACTGGTCTAAGCAGTGTAGCGCCTGAGTAACATGACTATCAGAAAAAAGGAACAGAGCAAATAAAAAACATTCTCAAAAACAGAGACTCTGCAGACTTAGTAGCCTCAGTAAAATGAAAAGATCCCCCGCCACGCTGTTATTATGAAATTTCAGAATCTCAGAGATAGAAAAGCTCCAAAAAAGCTTCCAAAAACACATAAAAACGTGGTTATAAATAACGTGTTACACAATGGCAATAGATTCAAGAAAACAGGGTGATAAGAGCACAATTGCAGAATATCTTCAGAACCATAAAATTTAGATTCAACCTAGAAGTTTACTCTCTATCAAGGAAGAAGAATTTTAAGACTGGTCAGATTTCTAAACATCTCTGCCCAGGAACGTGTGCTTAAGTACAACTAGAGAGGATAACAAGACAGAAAAAAAACACAGAATCTAGGACTCACGTGATCCCACACAAAAAGGCAGTTATGTGAGATTCCCAAAAGACTTTAAAAAGATAACACAGATAGACTAAAACATCAAGTATATCTAGGTAAAGCCACTCTATACTAAACTAGGATGACAAAAGGCCAAAGAAAGGTTGCCCACCACCCACCAAAAACAAAGAGGAACAGATATGTTTTAGCAGATGGAAAATATCTTTGAAAGGCATGTGATAAATGCTACAACACTTGAATGTGTGTGAGGGGAATCAGCTGTTAGAAAACAGGCAAATGAATATAGTCAGAAAATCAGCTTCATGCTAAAAAATAAGGATGTAAAATGTAAATTATATGTAAAATATAATTTAACAATTATTATTTTTCAATAAAGTGACAGACCATCCAGAGGCTACGTATTGCATTTGGCTGGATAAACCAGCAGAGGTCAGGAAAAAAAGATGATCCAGAAGAAGTGCAGAAGTGCTCAGATTTCAGAACTGTTTCAGAGAAAGGATGAAGGAATATGTAATGAAGAGACACAGTGAAAACAACATATAACTCAGCAGTGAATATTTGGATAGTCATAATCATGTCAATATTACTGATTGAATTAAAAAGTGTGCTACAATAGAAAGAAACAGAGGGAGAAAAATAAGGTCATGGTTAGCAAAAAAGATAAGCTTTCACCTGCTGTGACAGAGGGTCAATACACCATACTGACAATTAACTTAGCTCTTTTTGTTGTTTCATTAAAAATAAGATTAAATATTTAAAGCAGATCTGTATACCACAACCAAGTATTGAAATTTAAGTTAAGTGTTAGAAATCCTTAAAAGGTGGGTACACTAAGCTGAAGACTTTTTGGGATAAATTTGATAGGAATGTAGAAGAGATTCAGAAAATCCATGAAACGAGGTCCACTCTATCACCACTGGGTCCCCATTATAATAAAAAGTAATCAAAACAGACATACTTTTACATCAAACTATCAATTCCTCAACTTTTGACTGTTTACTTACATGGTTTCTACAGCTGTTTTCTCCTATTTCTTGTGCTAAGAATAAAAAAAAAAAGGTCACTTCTGACACAAATAATATAAAATAAAAGTAGTTGTGAAAATCTTACTGACTACTCCTATGTACAATCAGAGAAAATTCCATTTAAAAAAATTAATTTCAACAATTTATCATTTAAATTTTCTGGCATGATAAATCTCATAAAGTAAAATACAAAAACTCAGATTTATGTTTTGACCTGGTTTACTTTCTGTTTTGTTACATATGAGTGAAATAATGCTCATGTAAAAAAAGGCACAAAAATTAGGCCAGATAAAAAATTTAGCTAACTAAAAAATTTAATTGTTGCATATATGAGCCATGATCCATTAGTATTCTCCCATTCTGATTTACATATAGCTTAATTACCAGAATCTAAGAGCTAAAAGCTCTAAGAACTACTTGCTGGCCAGGCACCTATCTCTAGATGCATCAGAATCCCTGTAAGCCTCTCCAACCACAATTAGTGGTCATCTACTAATATGTCGCTACAAAAACAAACAAACAAACAAACAAAAACGGGGTCTTTATACAACTGAAAAGTAACCAATCTTAAATTTAATCTTTTGTTCGTTGTTTTTTTTTTTTTGATATAAAGGAGTCTCCCTCTGTCACCCAGGCTAGAGTAAAATGGTATGACCTTGGCTTACTGAAACCTCCGCCTTCAGGGTACAAACGATTCTCCTGCCTCAGCCTCTGAGTAACTGGGATTAGAGGCGCACAATACCATGCCCAGCTAGTTTTTGTTTTAGTAGAAACAAGGTTTCAGCATTTTTGTCAGGCTGGTATTGAACTCCTGACCACATGATCCATCCACCTCCACCTGCCAAAGTGCTGGGATTACAGGCATGAGCCACCACACCCTGCCAAATTTAAATGTTAAAAAAAGTAAACAAATTTGGATATGGTGTCTGCAGCAAAAAAAAAAAAAAAAAAAAAAAAAAGGCAGAATAGTAAGAGCTTCAAGAGGGATTTGGGCCTTGCTTTGTTTCTTATACTGCCTCCACCTTAAATGCTGGAAGGGCCTTGTAGGCAAACATTCCCATCACTGAAGTGTGAGGGACATGGAATAGCTTTTCTTTTTTCTGCTTTCATGCTCTCCAGGTGTGATAAGCCCATGCCTCTGAAAGTAAGTGGAAAATACACCTCTGATATGGTTTGGATATGTCTCCCTCTCCAAATCTCATGTTAAAATGGGACCCTTAATGCTGAGGACAAGGCCTAGTGAGAAGTGTTTGGATAACAGTGGAGCATTCCTAATAAATGGCTTGGTGCCATTCCCATGGTAAAAAGCAAATTCTCATTTTGGTATTAAACCAAAATGAGTTTTTCTTTTTGTTTATTTAAACAAAATGTTTTATTGAGAGAGAGAGACAGAGAGAGAGAGAAACAGAGAAGAGAGAAAGCTTCCACGAGAGAGTGTGTGAAAGTAAGACCCCAGAGGGAAAATCCAGGAAGGAGAAAAGACCTCCGATTATGTCGGATAATATGAGTTTTTCTAAAAAGTTTTTATAATACATCTGATCAAACAGGATTTTTCACTCTTTGTCTTGGCAGAAAAAACAATGTTGTCTCACTACCTGTTTGGGATTTCCTTGTTTCAGAAGGGTTGGACTCCAAAGCCCTATCTGTAAAGAAAAAAAAAGAAAAAATAAATAATCACTTATAATAATTTATCACCTCATTTATTCAAAAAGGAAGCCATCTCACTACCTCTACTTTTATTCTTATCCATTGGGAAAAGGGACAAAGAATTAAACATAAAGATAAATCCAAGACTCCTCCACTACATGACAAATTGTGTCGATAAAAAGATGGAAAAATCAATGAACAAGAAGTTGACATGTTTTCACTAACATGGTAACAAGCAAAGTATATCACATGTTACAAAAAACAAGTGAATATGTAAAAATTTTAGAAATTTAAACAAATATGAGTTTTCCTAAACACTTTCTATTATACACCTCATCAAACAAGAGTTCTCACTCTTTTTCCTAGTGGAAAAAAACAATGCTGTCTCACCATCTGCTGGATATTTCTTTCCTTCTGGATCATCAGAAGGGTCGGACTCCAAAGCTCTATCTATACATACACAGAGAGAAAGGAAAAAGTATGTAATCACTTATAACAATTTATCAACTCACTTATTCGACAAGGAAGCCATTTCTACACGTACTTTTATTTTATCCACTGAAAAAAGGGACAAAGAATAAAACATAAAGATAAATCTAAGACTCCTCCACTTCATGAAAAATTGTGTTGATAAAAAGATGGGAAAATCTATGAACAATAAGTTGACATGGTTTCACTAACATAACAAGTAAAGTATATCACGTTAAAATAACACAAGTGATTATGTGAAAAACTTTTTAAATTTAAACTTTAAATATATGAGTTCTGCTAAACACCTTCTATTATACACCTCATCAAACAAGAGTTTTCACTCTTCTTCTGGTAGAAAAAAACAATGTTGTCTCACCATCTGCTGGATATTTCCTTCTGGATCATCAGAAGAGTCAGACTCAAAAGCTCTATCTATACATGTATGGGAGAGAGGAATAAAGTATCTAATCACTTATAACAATTTATCAACTCACTTATTCGACAAGGAAGCCATTTCTACACCTACTTTTATTCTTATCCATTGGGAAAAGGGACAAAGAATAAACATAAAGATAAATCTAAGACTCCTCCACTACATGACAAAGTGTGTTGATAAAAAGATGGGAAAATCTATGAACAATAAGTTGACATGGTTTCACTAACATAACAAGTAAGGTATATCAGGTTAAAATAACACAAGTGAATTATGTGAAAAATTTTAAAAATTTAAATCAATATGAGTTCTGCTAAAACACCTTCTATTATACACCTCATCAAACAAGAGTTTTCACTCTTCTTCTTGGTAGAAAAAAACAATGTTGTCTCACCATCTGCTGGATATTTCTTTCCTTCTGGATCATCAGAAGGGTCGGACTCCAAAGCTCTATCTATACATGTACAAAGAGAAAGGAAAAAGTATGTAATCACTTATAACAATTTATCAACTCACTTATTCGACAAGGAAGCCATTTCTACACCTACTTTATTCTTATCTATTGGGAAAAAAGACAAAGAATTAAACATAAAGATAAATCTAAGACTCCTCCACTACATGACAAATTGTGTTGATAAAAAGATGGGAAAATGTATAAACAAAAAGTGGACATGTTTTCACTAACATAAGTAAAGTATATCACATGTTAACATAACACAAGTGAATATGTGAAAAATTTAAAAATTTAAACCAATATGAGTTCTGCTAAACTCTTTCTATTATACACCTCATCAAACAAGAGTTTTCACTGTTTTTCTTGGTGGAAAAAAACACTGTTGGCTCACCAACTGCTTGAGATTTCTTTGTGTCTGGATGATCAGAAGGGTCAAACACCAAAGCCCCATCTATACAGAGAGAAAAGAAAAAATATGTAAGCATTTATAACAATTGATCAACTCATTTATTGGACATGGAAGCCATCTCACTACCTCTACTTTTATTCTTATCCATTGGGAAAAGGGACAAAGAATTAAACATAAAGATAAATCTAAAACTCTTCCATTACATGACAAATTGTGTTGATAAAAAGATGGGAAAATGTATAAACAAAAAGTGGACATATTTTCACTAACATAAAAACTAAAAAAAAGTATATCACATGTTAAAATAACACAAGTGAGTATGTCAAAATTTTAAAAATTTACACCAATATGAGTTCTGCTAAACACTTTCTATTATACACCTCATCAAACAAGAGTTTTTCACTCTTCTTCTTGGTAGAAAAAAACAATGTTGTCTCACCATCTGCTGGATATTTCTTTGATTCTGGATGATCAGAAGGGTTGGACTCCAAAGCCCTATCTATCTATACAGAGAGAAAAGAAAAATATGTAATGACTTCTAACAATTTATCAACTCATTTATTCAACAAGGAAGCCATCTCACTATCTCTACTTTTATTCTTATCCATTGGGAAAAGGGACAAAGAATTAAACATAAAGATAAATCTAAGACTCCTCCACTACATGACAAATTGTGTTGATAAGAAGATGGAAAAATGTAAACAAAAAGTTGACATGTTTTCACTAACAAGTAAAGTATATTACATGTTAAAATAACACAAGTGAATAAGTGAAAATTTTAAAAATTTAAACCAATGAGTTCTGCTAAACACTTTCTATTATACACCTCATCAAACAAGAGTTTTCTTTCTCCTGGTGGAAAAAAACAATGTTGTCTCACCAACTGCTTGAGATTTCTTTGCTTCTCGATGATCAGAAGGATCGGATTCCAAAGCCCTACCTATACAGAGAGAAAAGAAAAAAGATGTGATCATTATAACAATTTATCAACTCATTTATTCTATAAGGAGGCCATTTTAATACCCCTACTTTTATTCTTATCCATTGAATGTATAGAAATAAGATGAGGGCAGATAAGGTGGCACACGCCTGTATTCCCAGATACTCAGGAGGATAAGAAAAGAAAATCCCTCAAACCCAAGTCTGGAATTTAGGCCAGAGTAACATAGTGAGACTCTTTTTTATTTAAAAAATAGAAAAAAGTAAATGTTCCCTTTGAGTTGTGTAAAATCAACTTTGCATAAAATAAATCAAGATGGCAATACATTTTAAAAGCAAGGCCTATTTTATAGACAAAGTATAAGATGTATTCTGGAGTTTAAAAATTTTTTAAAAAGTAAATTCAGCATATTTGTCACTTCCACGACATTCTGAAGACACAGAATATTAGCTCTGTTGAGCAGCTGTCTTCCATAGTCATGTGAGATCTCTGTCTTCATTTCTTCATTAGGAATAAAGAGGAAGAACATACACAAGTCTTCTTTGTATTGGAAGGGGCCAAGAGACATACATAAACTGTATTGTAATCCTAAAGAATAGCAATAAAGAGCCTTTTTTGTTCACTAATCCAACACCACCCATCTATAAACACCACTCACAGGCTTTCCTTACACCAGCAACCAGAGTATAAGTTTACACAAGTACTTACACATTTTGTGTATAAAGGTATAATCAATTCACATATTTGTTTATTCAAAATTCTTAAACATCTTGAAAGGTGAGTATGGTACTCCAAGTTACAATGTCACATTCATCATGAATGTTAATTATTCTACCTCTGGAAAAAACTAAGAGCCAAACCAATGTTGGTTTTTTGTTTTGTTGCATTTTTTTTTTTTTTTTTACTTTAAGTTCTGAGATACATGTGCAGAATGTGTAGCTTTGTTACATACGTACACATGTGCCCTGGTGGTTTGCTGCATCTATAAACGCATCATTGAGGTTTTAAACCCCACATGCATTAGGTATTTGTCCTGTTTGCCGTCCCCTTACACCCCACCCAACAACGAATGCCCCAGTGTGTGTTCTCCTCCCTGTGTCCATGTGTTCTCATTATTCAACTACCACTTACGAGAGAGAATATGTGAAGTTTAGTTTTTGTTCCTGTGTTAGTTTGCTGAGAAAGATGGCTTCCAGCTTCTTATGCTTTACTTTCTTATCTTTGAACAAGATTCTATTGTCAGGTGGAGGAAGGAGAAAGGGGGAGCCATGGCAGCAAACACTCTTCCAGTTTTAACCTTCAATCTTTATGTTACATGTTAAAAGTCTACATTGACGTTTCATGTCTTTTGAAAGTTTTGACCACGAACCATCCCTACCTCTCTTCTAGAACAAGAAGGTAAATAGTCTGTTAAATCACCAGAATAAATCTAGAGACACATTTTGTGTTAAAGTAAGAATTTTAACGTCATCAGAGCCTCATAGGTAAATTCCTTTGGAGGAAAACAAAAACCCATTTTTCTGCAGCCCTGGCCATGACTTTTCATACCTTTCACGATTATTTAAGCACCCTCCCATTTTCTTTCCTTTTGCATTCAAATTACAGTTAGAAAAAAATAAGCACCTATCAAGGTGACTTAAAGCAACCTATTAAGAATATCCTATCATCTCTCCCATGGCAAACTTCATTCTGATTTCAAAGAAGAAATCGCCAAATATTTCAGTATGAATTGTCCTAAGATTTAGCTACTTTAATGAAGGAAATAATTAGGCACTTACCTGGTTCCTTCACTTAGGTACCATCTGGATAGGTACAAAAAAGAATGAGATGGGTACTGGAAAGTTGGGGTATTTGAGTTTTTATTGACAAAACGAAGAGATATTAAAAAAAAAAAAAGCCTAAACAAAATCCCACAGAATAATAAACAGAGCTACAGACAAGCAGAGACATAAATGGTCCCAGGCCAGCCTGAGAAAATGAGATGAGGGGGCAAGAACTGGGTGTTTGGGAGGGGAGGAGAAAAGTTGACTGGACTCCGTGGAGAAAGACTAAGTGGTTGAAAAAGGAACACAAGGCAGAACCAGCCTTTGTTTCTGACCAGCCCTGGAAAAGCTGGCTACAGGCAAAAAGGAGCCTGGGGTAGGGAATGGCCCCCAGGGGACCTTGAAGACAAGAGCAGCCAGAGGGGTGGCCAGGGCAGATGGCACCATCACCTCCTTACCTTCAGACATCTCCCCATCACAGATGTCATGCACAGGAAGGTCCTCACCAGCTTCAACAGTCAACTCAGCAGGTTCTATGGCAGCAGCAGTGGGTGCTGCTGCTGTGTCCTCAGCTGTTGCTTCACAGATTTTACACTCTGGAGGACACCCTGACACCTCATCATTGTCTGACTTGGGGCACACACAGCAGCACAGTATGTTCCCCATGGGGAACCTCTACTCCTGTCTGCTGCCACCTATGCCTCCGCTCACAGTGTTGGCCAGGCACTCCTGCTGCCCTAGGCCGAGGCTATGCTGCACTTTCAGAGATGGTCTTGCCCGCTGCTCACCTGCCCACCCGGCAGCCCGGCCCCAGCCGGGGCTCAGGCCGAGGCCCGCACCCTGCTGCCTCTCCTAAGTTGACTTGTCTGGGAGGGTCAAAAACAGCTGGCTAATTTAATAGGTTGGGAACCCAACAAGCACTGAGTGATACAACTGCCTGAAGAGTACAAAAGGAGCTACTTACTACTCCTTCTGTAGTCAAATACAGACTGAAGCCCACTGGCCCAGGTGGAAGCCCAGGCATGTGACTCACAGTGCCCTGCCCCACACCTCACAATGCCTTACCCTGGCTACTACCCCTCCCTGTCTGCCCCACCTCACCCTGGCTGCCCCACCCAGGGCTCTCCTGGCCCCTCCTTCAGTGCCAGTGGAACTAAGGTTTTCATTCATCACCCACCAGCTTCCTGAGCTTTTTAGTCCTAAAAACAGGGTGGCTCAATACTGGAAGCCATTTTCCTCTAGGAATTCTATACAAAGTGGCAGTTAGCAGAGTGGGTCCCATTAGCAACCAGTTGAACTTTCATTTGTTGACTCAATGTAAATAAACCTGAAATATTCCTCTCCTGTCTTTCAATGAGTGGTAGTTTTTGTCTGAAACTTCACCAAAGCAATCCCTGGGGCCCTAGCTCTACCCTCACAAAGGAGTTATGACTGTGTGTTTTGAATGACAGCTTAGAACCCATCCTGCCTCCACCTCCTTCTCCAGAAAATAGAAACCTAACTTGTCCCCCCAAGCTCTAAAGTGCTGAAACTTACCAACTTCCTTTTCTCCTGTTTCTTCCTTCCATGGCAGGGACTTTTAGATTTTCTCTCTTTTACTAACAAACTTCTAAGTATGACTTTGTTATACAAAATCAAGAGCCATTAGGTGGGTTACCAACGTCCTAACTCAATAAAAATTAATACTGAACACCTAGCAAGCAGTATGTGCCTGATGGTGTTCCAAGTGGGCTACGCTCATTGAGCCCTCAGAAACAATCTCACCAGTTTTAGAGAAGACACTAAGATGGAGAAGGTAAGTTATCTCCCCAAGGTCACATGACTGCCCAGGCTGGGGCCATTATTTGATCTCAGATAGTATGAATTCCCCAATTCCTCAAGCGTGACTATCAGAAAGTGCATTATTCCATTTTCACCCTGCTATAAAGAAATACTTGAGGTTGGGTAATTTGCAAATGAAAGAAGTTTAATTGACTCACATTCCACATTGCTGTGGAGGCCTAAGGAAACTTAAAATCACAGCAGAAGGGGAAGCAGTTACAAGGCGGCAGGCCAAAGAGTGTAAGCATGTGGAGGAGGAACTGTCAAACACATATAAAACCATCAGATTCATGAAAACTCACTATCACAAGAACAGCATATGGGAAACTGCCCCCATGATCCACTTACCTCCCACTGAGTCCCTCCCTCAACATGCGGGGATTATAAAAATTACAATGCAAGATGAGATTTGGGTGGGGACATGACCAAAGCGTATCAGAAAGTACAGGTAGAAGTCAAGCTTGGAAGGGAAGTGACATTATAGACTGGCATATTTAAAAAATAATAATTTTTTAAATGTAAATTTTAAAATGCCTCCTCTTCACTCAACATTGATGAAGTCCCTTCTACATGCCAGACACCGTATGTGTGAAACAGTCCAAAATTTCAATGAGGGTAGGCAGATACACAAAGGCTTAAGAAGTTCAGTTTTCTGAGATCACACTATTGGACAGTGTAGGAATCTGAGATACAAACCCACCTCTATCTGACCCCAAATTTGACACTGCGGTGGTTTCAATTTTATTCTGAAAAATTGAGTCATTGAACCATACAAAGGTGAGGAGTCTCTGTCAGATGTGTGTGTAATGGTCTGTATAATAAGGAAAAACTGAAGGAAGCAACAGACCAATTAAGAGACTACCTAAAGGAAGACTGATGCAAAAGGCAGTGGCAGTGACAAAAGTGAGGGAAAAAATTTTGTGATTATTGGGGAGACAGAATAGGAAGTACTTAATCATGAGATGTGAAAGCAGAAAAGTAGAGGGAAAAACAGGGCTGCTCGGGCTCTGTTGGGGAAGACCGGGTACAGAGTTGTACCTTTCTCCTGGCAGAGAATGTAGGAAGAGAAATAGATAAGGAGGAAAAGACACTTTTTTACACTGTGTCACATTAAAATGGAACTCTCTGGTCAAAGTTGATTATAAATCTCTGTAGGCTAAGTCCATTTGTGACATCCCAACATATGTTTTAAAAAATAACACACATACTAAATCAAACCATTTAGAGTAATGGGAAATTTCCTAAAATTTACATGCTAAGTATATCACCATTTTTTCTTACTTTCATGGAGCAACTCTGAATCTATGGTTAGAGCAAATGAGGGATCTTACAAAAAATAAAACTAATATTTTAAATTTAAAATTCTATTGTCCTCAGCGAATAGAGAAAGCAACTGAAGCCATGGGTATGGAAGTG